AGTGTGATAATTATTCTTTTTCATGAAAATTCTCAGGTGAAAAGAATAAAATAAATACTCTTGAAGAACACAGGCAGGTGGAATTACAGAACTAAGAGCTTGTTGAATTTTTCAGCATTGATATTTTGATATTCAGGTAATAAAACTAAAATACAGAGTAAAAATCTCCAAAAGACTAAAATGCATCAATTAATTAATAATTGCACTTATTTTTAAACCCTTGAAGTTTCTAGCCCTTGAGATAAAGCAACATAATAGTGAACATTGGTTCACAAAGAAAATAATTTTGGATTTAGTTAGCTAGGTGCCAGCAATCTGGAGGCATTACTTGAAGACCTTGTGATCCCTAATACTATTCCTTTTTTTGTGTTTCATGTAAAGACAGTTTTGTTTCTTCTTACTTGTGTATTATTAAGTCCTAGCCAGCAACATTAGATACCTTCCAAGTATATGTGAATCTGCTAATATTTTTTATATTTTCTTATCATAGGTAATAGAGTAGAAGCATGTAAACGCTGTAAGTACAGCAAAGGTTCTAAAATTTTCTCTAAGCATGTTGCTTACGTTTCCTTTATAAACTTTGCAGCACGATTTATCTTCAGGAAACAGAAGCTCAGCTGTGTAACACACCTAACTAAATACATACTGTCTACCAGTGGATCAGAGAAAATTGTTGGGTTTGTTTGCCTATGCGTTAGATTAGTCATCTCCTATGAGAGTCTGAAGCGCAGCCTAATGACTCATACACAAGCAAAATCGGTAATTTCAGATTCTACAGGCATGGCTAACTGACAACCCTGTTGCAGATACCACTTCGCAATATAGTAGCCTTCCATAAGCAAAGCAGGAACTTCAGCTTCTTGCATCGAGATTAGGCAATGAAGTCAAAAGACACAGTTCTGTACTTTTCCTATTCCTGTTTGAATTGGAATTAGTGTGCATTTTAGTTTCTGGAACATAAGCCATGGGGGGACACACATGCATTGTCTGAGTTTAATCACTCTTCAGTGATGTAGAAAGAGGTTTGGTGTGTTGTGGATTTTTTTTGTTTGTTTGTTTTTTTATTTTGTTTCTTTTAACCAACAATTGCTTTCTCTAAGTTATATATTTACTACCTTGATGTGATATACAAGTGGATATCTTCCTATATCCACTTGCACCCGAGTGATTTCTTGCAATCCAAGCAGTGAGTCTCCAGGCCTCTTTTCATTTGAATGCTTAACTAATGTAGAAGTTGCGTAAGAAATGATTACAACATATTTTATTCGTTTTTTCTGTATGTCATGTCACGTTTTCCCCCCTGTGATTGGCCTCAACTTCTGCTAAAAATTGTAGCTAGTGGCACTATGAAAGGGCTGTTCATGCCACTTACCTGTACAGATCAGGTTCAGATTAGCTCAGACTTTGCTGTTTTTTACCATCAGGAAACATTTATTCTATACAGCACCTCTTTCACCTTTAAGTTTTGTTGTGTTATGAATAAGAGACTTAAGTGCAACTTATTTTCAGATTAGGTCAAAAATTATCCCGTGTGCATTTAGCTGATGACTGGGGATGCCATCATTTTTTTCCCTCTCCCCGTTCCCTTGCTTGAAATGCGCACTTCTACAAAATGTTTTTGTAAGGAACTCCTGCAAACCTTTTAGGAGAATGTTTCAGATTCAGGTAAGACTCACCACAACTAGATTTTTTATCTTCATTATACCTGGTGTTTCTACATTTGTTTTTCTTCCAAGTGTTGCTAATACCCGATATGAAAAACTTGCCCAGGTGGAAAAAATACGTCTGACGTTTTTAGTTCCTAATATTACAGTGCTACATAATGGAATACAACTTCCTTAGTTAAATCCCACAAAAACCAACCAAAAAAAAAAGCCCACTAAGCCAAGAGAAAATACCTTTTCTCTCTAATTCAGACCCCAGCTATGCTTCACTCCTGCCTTCTCCCCATATTCAAGCACACAGCCCATGACTTCTCCCACATTTCAATAAGAAAGGTGTGAAGTAGGAAAGAATGGTGTATGTAACCAAGTACGTTTCCTTTGAACTATCAGCAATGTTTCACAATATTTATTCTCTGTGTTTATGGCAAAGCATAGACTTTTTTTTTTTTTTGGCTTTTAATTTTCATTTCTCATGCTTCAAGACTTGTTAGGGTGTAGTTCAAAAGATTGTCACACTTTTGGAGAACAGAATGTGTTTGGCAGGATTTTTTTTGGATCATAATAATCTAAAAATCCAACCAAGTCGTTTTCTTGGGATGAGATAGATTTACAGGCTTCAGTGGAGTTAATTGCACCTCTGTATTTTCTTAATTTGTATTTTAGGCATCTGACTGCTCTACCACTCCCACTTTCAGTTTTTTTTTTTCCTCTTACAAACTTGAGACCCAATTGTAATCATTGCTGGACAAGCTTTACAGGGTTTTGAATCAGGACTTGAACTCTGAATTTTTTTCCTATCGGAGAAGAAAAAGTAAGGGTGGCAGAAAGAGATCAGAATGGTGATCTAGAACAAAAGTTGATGTATTGGTACTTCAAATTAACCTTTTTTTTTTTTAACTTTTTTTTTTTCCAGATAAAGATTGACTTGTTCTCTGCACTCATGTAGCTGAAAAGCATTTTTACAGAATGATTAAGAATTTTAAGTCTCAAAAATACTTTTGGTCAAGTAGGTAGACTTTTGAAAACTGTAGGAGGTATGTAAATATTATTTTATAATGACACTGATCATAAATACTGATGATTCCTTGAGGAGTTTTCATGTCTTGAAATCCATGTGTAATGTTCAAGAAAATATTTTAAATAGCAGTGAAAACAAAAGTATTTAAGATCTAAGTAACAAAAGCAGAAGGGTAGCTATCTAATGGTATTATCATATGGATACTAAGCTTGGTTTTATCAAATATGCTGCATGCTGACAGACCTTGATTAAGAAAAATCCCCTAGCTGCCATTGTTTTTATAGCATCACATTCAGAATTGTTCCTACAACAGCCTGTTCAAATCAAGGATCTCTTGCTACATTTTCTGCTGTGGTGGATTAGAATGTAATGAAGAGAAGTTCTCAGAGATGGATTTTATTAATAGTCTGGTTGTCTGTTTCTTTTAAATATAAAGGAGAAGTTCTGTGTCATTTGCACAAACTGATAGCAGGCAAAACACGATGCAAAATTCATACAGAAGAAAGCAACAAGCTAACAGCAAAAAACGTCAAGAGAATAGATTTTGAACTGCATCAGCTTTTTACCATCTGAATTCTCTCGAGGAATGGAGCAATGTCTGATATACTGTGAACATGACACCTATTAAGTGTCACAGTAATCCAATGTGAAGATGATGGCTTGGGCAAAATTCAAGGCGAGTTTGGGAGTACGGAATGGGGTGTTATGTTTATTTCAACAGGAGTTGCCATTGCAAGGTGGTATTTCCACTACTGTTAACAGCAGAGAAAAATGTGGTTTGCTTAGGTGAATTTATTAAAAAACAACTTAAGTGCTATATTTAAAAAAAGGAAAAAAAAGTGGATGGTTTAAGTGGGAGATGAGAACAGGTAGGAAAATAGGAGTGTGAGATAGTACAGAGGCATGCGTATGATCTGCTTGTCATTTGCTAAGAGTTACCTCTCTTCTGTCTCAAAGAGTTTTACAAACAATCTACAGTGCTGGTTAAGCAGCCAGGCTTTGGGGAGTTTGCAGAAATCCACTTTTTGTTCTTTCATCCATATAAAATATTTTAACACAACATGGACATATGTTGTGTTAAGTAGTTTAACGCAACATAGACATATCAAAGGGAGAAACAGAAGGGGAGGGAAGGGAACAAAAAATAGGTTGCTAAACAACTTGTTTCCTATTTGTTCTCATAAATGTAGGAAAGAGCTTCTCAAACAGCACTATACTTGGTCAAAGGGTCTATAAGCTGCAGTGGGAAGAACATGCCAGGCCTGCTGAGGAAACCGCCTTTATCTTGTTAGGTAAGCTGCATCATTCTCCATTATTTTTTTGATTATGTACTATTAAGAAATATGGTCACCTAAAGAAAAATAGAAATGAAGATAATGAAAAGCATCTTCATAATGCAGAGCTGTGGCTGATTTCCACCTGACACGACTGTAGTCCTTTAGGTGACTGTGTGTTGTGTTCTGTATTTGTATTTCAAGAGATGCATCAGTTTTAGAGTATTCTTAAAAACACTAGGAAGACACATGCTTACTACCTATGTAATCACTGCTCCATAGCTAGTTATAGCTTTGCAAGCAATATAAAAATTAACAAACAACCCCAGCAGGTAGATTTGCTGTACTTGGTAATTCTTAAGACAGTACTAAACTTAAAAAAAAAAAAAAAAAAAGTGAGGATATATTGAATTGTTGTTTAAACTAGTAGCTTGTTGCCAACTGATTCTGCTGTTTGTTACCTTCTTGCTGTAGATAAAGCAATTCTATAGCCCCTTACACAATATTAAACATACTAACACTCAATGCATCCAGAAATCACTAACTGTGTTAGCCTTTATTCCCATGAACCACCCTCCACTGAATGGTTAAGTGCAAGGATGAGTGGTAGGACCACTATCCTGACTATTAACCCAAAATTAGCTTTTCCGACCTTCCTAATTCTCTGCATCCCTTGGCAAGGTATTTCTTAATAGCTTACTGTCCTCCTTCAAAAGCAAATTCTGCTACCATTTTGGTTTAAGAAGGATTGATTCTGTGATTGCTAGGGAAGTTCTGCAAATCAGGGAAGTACTAATCACTGCCTTTCTCAGTACTTCTCTCATACTGAGCTTCACTCCATCACTTCTGACATTAGTTTTGCCCTCTGACTTGAATTGCCTGCCTTTAATATCAAAATGGCAACAATTTATTGACAGTTGAGTTGTAGTCCATCTGTAAATGCCATTATTAAAATGTTTTAGGACCAGTTCTAAAGCTTTAGAAATGGTTTTCACCCAGTAGCGCATTAAAAGGTTGCCACTAAACTCAGTGAGAGTCTGTGTATAACTCTAAAAGTATTTTTATTGAAAGTTCTCTTTTTAAAGCATTTTATTTTTATTACTTTTACCAAAATAAAGCATTTAGCATACAATGTTTTCACACATTTGGGAGACAAATAAATTTATCTTGAATTCTTTCATGCATTAATAGTTCATTTAATACAAAGCTTTTTCTTCAGTGATACTAATTTTAAATACAGTTTGCTTGCTTTTTTTTTTTTTATAAAAACTATTTATGTTGTTATCATGTGTTTCCCTTTATACAGATACTTAAACTGGGAAACTACAGTGATGTGTATTGCTAGAGCTTAAAAAAAGCCATTCTCTCACAAAGAAACCTGTGTATCAAGTGGTAAATTAAAACCCAAACAACGAAATGCCTGCTGTTAATTGAACTGATTCTTTTTTTCTAAGAATAAAAACTTCTTAATTATTTTACTTCTATTTTGTGTGCAAAATCAAAAAAAAAAAATCTAGGTTTTGCATTTCCACAGTTTGGTATGCATTACCTAACTACAGTATTTTCTGAATTTAATTTAGAATTTACAATAAACTTGTTTGTAATTATAAATAAATAAGAGAGAAATACAGTGTAAGATTCTGTCCTTATACCTAAGATACCAGTTATGGTGAATGCATAAATTTAATATCAAAGGTACAATACCATTCTACTTAATTAAGATATCACAGGACTAACTTCATGTGCTTTCAGTATCATGCTGCATAGTTGAGAAAGGAAAATTAAGGTGCACTTCGTGTCTTTAATGGCACTTTTTTTTTTTTTTTTTAGCAAAGGATGGTATACATATTTGTATTACTAGCCAGGGTTACTCTTCAAAACAGTATTTTAATACGTGCATGCAAAATACATAGAACCCTAAATAAAGCAGCAACTCCTATGCTGTATTTGAAGCTTTAGCTAACAGTACAAGGATCATCATTGCTTGATTTCACTTCCCCTTCCAGCAATAAGGTGATCACAGCCTTACTCAAGTAGCTGCATGTTCCCTTTTTTCCGACTGGGTGAGTGTTATAGAATGCAGTCATGTCATCCTGCAGGAAAGAGAAAAGATGTTTCTGTTAAGTGTTGATTATGTAAGGCAGACAAACTCAAGTGAACAGGAGAAACATCATGGATATGTTAGAAATGCAAATGTATTTTTCAAACTGTAAAGTTATAGTATAATTCTGCTCAATTTTCAGATATTTTCTACATGTACTATCTGAACATGTGGAAAACATTAATAAAGCATATTGTAGTATTTATATCCTTTCTGAATTTTCCAGTGCTACTTTCTCCGTATTGTTCAATTGTAATAGAACAATTGCTATCTTAAAACACGCAGATAAACGACTACTGTGTGGTAACTTATTGTGCTACCACAATATGATTGTGATCCAGGTCCATGAGTGCACGTGCAGAGATACTGACTTAAGGTTTATTTAAAAATAAAAATTGAAGAAGTAAACTAAACCACAGGTAGCATTTCGTTAATCAGATAAGATTAGCAAATAGGTTTTCTTCACTGAACACCTGTTTTGCTAAGTTAATGATGTTAAAACAGCTGCTTTTTCTCCAATTACATATTGGCTGTTATAATAAAGGTTCAACTCTTCAATTCAGGAAATAGGTTACTTTCCAATTATATTATTAAATCAAGGGTAGAAATTGTGTGATGAAACTATGAGACTTCTGTAGTTTTAGGGTGTGTTTGAAATTACTGGAGTAATCACTTTTAATACTAATTACATGTTCAAAGGGGGAAAAAAAATCAAAATATTTGCAAACCAGTTGAATGGAAGAACACCTTTCAGACAAATTAGGAGTTCTTCTAGCAGTATTTGCTACGAAAACCTGAGACAGAATATCATCAGATAGGCTACAGTTAACTTCCACTGGGCATATACTTGGGAATAAGGACGCTAATGTTTCAGAAAATTTTCATGTATGTTGTTGTTGGAAATTCCAACTCTTTAAACATACTAATCACAACTCTAAATTGGGATTTCTCTTTAACAGACAAAAGGCATCATTCTAACTAGGTCTGGGTTTAGTAAAAAAAGAAAAATCATCACTTAAATGGAAGCTAGGGCAGCATCAGTACAAATCATTTTTTGCATGGGATTTTTCTTTCAGTTTACAGCCGTAGGGATTTCCAGCCTGTCACTGTAATTGGTAGCATATAACAAGATAGCGTGCAGAGCTGGCACTTAATAGCCATTTGTGTGGATGATATGTCTGGTTTTGCTATGGCTGCAACCACAAAATCATTACCCTCACAAAATGATGAGGCCAAAAGAAACATAATTTAAAGAAAAATATGTCCTTTTAAAAACAAAGGTATGGTGCAAGGTGACGTGTTGCTAAGGCTAACTATGTGGCTTTCTTTCAAGTCTCATTACACAAAAGTAGTTACAAGAAAGTGAACCTTAAAACTTCTGAAATAATACTTGAGGACCACATTCTTCCTCATCTCTAAATAGCTAAACAACAGGCAGTGCTTTTGCATATAAGTGTTATGAACCGATAGGTTTTTCAGGGCTAGCACAGATCTCTCTGAATATATTGTGCACAATACAATGCCAGACTGAGCAAGTAAGAACATCCTCAGTAGCAGAGGGATTTGTCCTACTGCTTGACTCATTTCTTTCTTCAACCAGACAAGTGAACCTGGCTTTACTACAGAATTACCAAGCTCTGAGGCACCAAAACTTGTAGTGAGACTGCTTACAGCCCTTTAAAGCATAAAACCTGAAATCCTAGTGAAGTAAATCTTAAAAACTACTTGATGATCAAGTTTTGTTTATTTGGTTTTTAAGCCTTAAAGATTAAAAGCTTGCTAGCTTGTGAATGCAACCATAGTGGAAAAATCAGTAGCTAACAGTTTTGGCTTTAAAATTCTTACATTAATATTGTCAATGAGTTCTTTGGTTAATAAGTTTTTCTTAGTATCTTAGTAACTAAGATCCTAAATTCATACTTGCTGAGCATTAGGTTTTGCTTCCTTACAAATTTCTGGTATTCTAAACTAGAAAACTATTCTAGTTTTGCGCCGCAATTACCTCTTTACTGTTTTAGTGAACATCCTAAGCATTTCAGCTTTATCCATTTCAGAGCTGGCTAACACTGTGAGTGTCCTTACTCTATTGCTTTGAATTCACAATTACAAATAAAACAAAGAAAGAAAGTAAGTGCATGTTTTACCTCTACTTTTAGGCTTTTGGCAGACTTATGCAGCATTTGGGTATATTCATTTGTATTTGTGTTCTATTCTGAACTCCTTATCAATTTGCTTTTATTTTTTTCTCTGCACAATATTAAAAATAAAGCAAACTTCAACAAGAACAGTAAATGCTATAAGACACTTACTGTCTTATAAAAGTCTTAAAAACAAGTATTTTACTCACTTGTTTCTCATCTCCCTTTGACCTGTTGTGATCTTTCTGAAAGTCACGAAATGCTTCTTGCACCACTTTGTCCAAGTCCACTTTGTCCTGGAACTCTAACTCTGGATTTCTCTCCAAAATAACAGATATGACCATCAACAACTAGAAAGCAGAAGAAGATGGTAAGACTTTAATTTGTTAAAATTCAGGTTATACAAAAAGCATTGTAAATAACTGCATATGCTTGTTTCAAGCAGGAAGCAATTTAATAGTGGCACAGGTAAGTGTGTGGATAAAAGAACTGTGACTTTTATCAAAGAGTCACTGAAAAAAAGCTGACCTTCGTGAAAAGTTACAATTTCTGGTGACTACTTAGTTAAGGACACTGCAGAAAAGATTGACATTAACATCTCACGTTGGGAGTCAGGAAGTTATTTTCCAGTTTATTCAGTTAAGTGAGAGGCTGCACAAACAATGGTGCTCAGGCAATGGAGAGAGTGAAAAGCAGCAGTGAACCTCAGCTATTGATGTTTTGATGTATACACATGGGATAATTGCACTATGGCAAAGTTCATAAACAGCAAAGCCAAGAGACACAAAAAATGTTGGTTCAAGAAAATGTACAGTTCTTATATCTGAAAGATTTAAAATAGGAAGATGAGTATGAGTGACCTATAGAAGTAGGCAGTAGAATCTATATTGGTCATCTTTGTTTTTGATAACTTTGTTTTCTTTTAGCAAAAATTGGAGATGTTCCAGCAAGCAGCATGACCATTAGCTGTTAGCCAGAATTGAGATGGATTTGAATTAATTTTACTGTGGGAAAAAAAACTCGCAGCCATCAGAGACACATACTTGGGAACTAACAATGAACACTGCTGACAGCACAGATGTCAGTTACCAAAGGTACATATGCTCTTGATCTGTTCTAAAAGTATCCATTATTAGCTGCACTGGTGGGGGAAGGAGTTTAAAGAAGTCTCTTGCTTTAAAACCCTAGGAAACTAAAAGTTGAGTCAGTAACACAAAGCAGCTTGCTAGAAAGCTACAGCAAAATGGGAAAGAAGAAGCTATTGCAGGGCAAACTGATGTTTTAGACCACATTTTTCCCTAGACTTGGAAAATCACTAAGAAAAGGCACAGGCTAAGGACTTCATATAACAATTAGTCTTCGTAAGTATATTGGCACTCTCATTAGTATTTACTTATTTGCCAAAGAAGGAAAACAGTGAAAATTTAATATATTCTGAGCATGCTAACAGTAATCAGTTTAATCACACAAAATGCATGGAGAAAGCACTGAAGCAATTGTTTGTATTTAAAATTATATTTCTACAAATTTTATTTATTTATTTATTTTAAGCAGTAACACACATGCACATTATGAAATTCCTTCCACTGTAGGCCACATACCTCTACAATAATTTGCCTGTATTCTGGCTGGTCAATATTTTGCAGCATATCTTCAACTAGGAGGGAAAAATTCATTTCGTACATCGTCATATCCGATAAAGTTGGTTGCTGAAAAATGAATAATACTTTTACAGAGAAAAGATTGTTTGCACTAAGTCACTCCCCACCCCAATACAGCCTGTGTGCTTGCTAAATAAATAATACACAACTAAAAAAATATGACCACTGCAGCATCAAATACGAAGCAGATTTCAGAGCCTGTGACAGCACAGCTTTGGACTCCATGACTTGGAAAGGGCGTCTTAGTCTTATAATCCTACAAAAATGTTTTAACAGAAGTAAATTACTTACATTCTATCCTATTTGCACTTTACTCAGAACCAAAAAGTAAGTATGATTTAAAATATGTATATATATCAGAAAAGGAACAAATTATCCTGAACTCATATATTATGGCATACAATAAATATTACAATTAATGGTGAATGGTATTATTGTTAATGTAGAGCAGAAATAATTGAGCACCTGTGCATGTTTTACCTGTGGTAAAAATTTCCCTGCTACTATTAAACCATTAGGAGTTCTCTCCAAGATCTGCCACACCCTGTCATAGAATCCAGCAGGAGTTCGATTCAGAGAACCGTCTATTTGTCGTCTGTTAAGCCAGCCTCTGTGGACAAAGGAAATTGATAGTTGGAAACAAAAAGCTGTTTTAGATTCTGAACCAAGTCACGTGTTCTGTCGTATAAGCCAGTAAGGTAAGCAGTGATAGCAAACACCTATTAATGATGCATACACAGTACACGTTGTGCCTGAGATGTTAGGCTCTAAAGAGAATAAAATCACGATGCTCAGAAAGTAGTGGTTAGAACGTCATTCTTATGTGTGTGTTTGTGCTTTATGTACCTGGAGGGAAAAAAAAAGCCACACACACAAAGAAACTGTGAAGTCTATCCATTGCAGTACAGTAAAGGTAATAGACTGAACTCGTCATGTCTGTCAATTAAGTCGCAGAAGACCAAAACATGCATAAAACAGAAGCCACTGTGTATTTAGCAACAAAATTTGTTTGGTTCCCATGACAGGCAAATTTATAAGCTCAGGAAAAAAAAATCCATTTTATTAACTATCATAGTAAGACTTGTTTCCTCATACCATATAGGCAAAACAATCGATTATATAAATATAGCTCAAAGAAATTCCACATTCATAAAATATAAAATGTGGTAGGTAGTGGTTTAGAAAAAGCTATCATTCTACTTCAAATACCAGGTTAGAAAAATGCATTTCAGCACAATTGCTAAAGGTAGATTAGCATGGGACAAAAACGCCTGATAGAGCAGCAACAGAATTTTAAGAACTGGCAGCCATCGATATGATTCGTATTGGTGGTTTCAAAGTACAGGATTAGTCTTGAGTAGCAGTACTGCACATACTTAACAGAAAAGTTTTCCCAAATGTTGTTGTCCACTGTTTGCAAATTTTTAGTAGAGGATCTGTTTTCATAAGGTAAGAGTACTGACAACTCCCCTTTGAAGCAGAGCTCTGATTACAAGCAAATTAACACTTTTGTTAAGGTTTTGAGAGAAATAACATCAACATCAACATGAGACAGCAACTAAAAAGCTGGTATTAATAACTGCAACAGAGACACTGAAAAGCATGTGAGAAAATACAGAATATATAGTATAGTGGCCTATAGAGAGATTGCACATCATACAAATTAAATAAAAGGGAACAGACACCACATTAAGAAGTTTGTCTCTCAAGCGTTAAAAGACTACAGATCTAAATAGAATGGATTTAAAAAATAGAGTGGATTTTGAATTGGGCAGGAACAAAATAGTATGATGTGAGGAAAAGTTGTAGTTGCCATCATCTAGTCAGTGAAGGACTAGAAAAATTATCAGCAGTATTATGTGCCAAAGTTTAATCTAATTTAACTAGAAGTAAAATCTATGGGAGGACTTTTTACTTCAGTCTTTTCAATATAGGTAAGTGGAAATATTGTAATTTTAACTTTTTTTTTTCTTGCATGCCTGCATCACAATGAATGTTCTTTCTGGCAACTTATAATCCTTTCTCCAAACTGTAACTAGTTTCAGTCAGCAAAGCTCTCTCTTCAGTATTCTAGAGAAAATCCATTCCTAATTCATATAAGCTAGAAAAAAAGGCCCTGAACAGCAGACAAACTTAATTTAGTCTTCCTTAAGATTAGTTACTTAAGTAGGCAGTATTGACTAGTTCTGACTCCTTTCCCTACACTGAGGAATATAATGCTTCACAGTATTGCCAAATCATATAGATTATTACTATAAGTTAAGGCTTCCACAAGGATAAGGGTGAAAAATTAAGCTGCACTACAAAAGAAACAACTGTAAAACTTGGATACAGATGAAAGAATGAAAAAGTGCACCTATACCTGCTGATTTAAGATGTATACAAAGTATTTCAGAAATGCAAATTACTTGAACAGTCTATTAGGAATGAGGACAGGTGACATGAACTCCACACATCTCATTACCTCCCCTGCTGCTGTGGTTGAAGAATATCCAGCAAAAGCTGCTTCACTTCACTAGGGGACATCTGGTACAGGTCCTTGGCTGGCATATCTCCGGCACGGAATTTCAATTCATACTTCATAGCATGGATAATCCATCTGCAGTAAAGGGAGGAAAACATTCATTAATTAAATACAACATTTGCAAAGAAAAAAATTTAGTCCAGTGAAATACCTCAGGAAAATTCCATGTCATCCTGTTTGTATTCTTTTGCTGTCAGGACGTGGTTATACTATCAAATACTCTACTGTTCTTACTGTTTTGTGGCATTTGCTCAGATTTTGCCTTTGTTTGCCTTATGACTTTCAGTTTATATCATATTGCATAGTTTTTATGAAATAGGTTGTGAAGCATACTTTTCACAAGGAAGATATATTTACTACATATCTTCCTACATTCCACATTCATTAAAACAAAATTTACCTGATTTCTGATGTTACAATTCCTACTCAAAATTATGGTCTTGACAGTATGTGCATTTTGCTGATGAGCTTAGGAAAGAAAATTAAATTGTTTTACATTGAAAAAAACTTCAAGGCATATTATAATAGTTTTAGCCTTTGAAGCCCCTTTTTGCAGTCTATCACAGTTCTTTTGCTACTCCTTTTTGAAAATAAATTGATTAAATAAAACCTTAGAAACTGATGGTTTTTCAACCTTAGGGACTTGAGAATCAGGACTTTGCAAGTTATTGAAGGAAAATGCTGGTTTTTCTTCTGCACATACTATAAAACAATGCTGCAGCTTCAAATGTAATATTAAAGATGAAATAATACATATGAAGCAGAGTAACTGAACATCCACATTGTTTTAGTTCAAGTAGCTATTTCTGTCAAAAGGGTAAAGAAACTTCACTAGTTTTTGTTCACATGGCCTACCACACAACACACAATCAAGTCTGGGATATGTCAAAGAGCTGTTTTACTCCCTTTATCAGAGAGAAAAGTGAAGTATTGCTAAAATATTTACCTTGTCAGCAATATAGCCACATTCTGAAGGTATGTTATTACTTGACCTACAAAGACTTTTTGTTTCCCTAAGTCAAGTCACAGACTTTTGTACTGAAGGATTTTTTTAATATAACTGCATAGAATTTTGTCAGGCCAACCAATTCCATGTTGTTTTACATTTGAGGTTTCTAGGATCATTCACTGAAGGTACAAGATGTGAGGAGAGTATGAGGCAACATGGGCATACTACATTGTCCAGAACACACTGCTTCCACTTAGTTTACTGTGTGAATAGCATTCGTCTCTTGTTACTAAGATTAACAAACAGAACTGACTGGAATTGTTGTGTTTTTCTCAAATACATCTTTATGCAAGTCATTCGGTAGTCTTTTCTGTTTACACTGGGCTATGTGACATCGCAAAGAGAGGACTGGACCTCCTACCAAACTTCACAGATAGGGGGTGGGTAGAAGTTGGTTGATTGGAGGTTTTTACAGTAATAGGACTGTCAAGAACTTGATCTATTTCAACATGAAACCCTGAAAACAAATCAATAACAAGACACTAAATCAAATCATTATCAAACTGGAACACTCATCCTGTGAGAAGGTTAATAATTCTGCTCACTGGAGTGGGTGATAACACTAGAATAAAAGGAAATTGAATCTCTAGAATTAAGCTTGGAAGAAAGAAAACAAAAAACTGCAAAAAGGGATTAGTTGCAGAGAATGAGGAAGAGGAAGAGGAATAACATGGACCTATAGAGGCTACAGAAAGTGTATTTAAGTGAAAGATGTACTTGCAGTTAGATGTAACACAGGTGATTTGACTGAGAAGTTTTTGGTTTTATAATGACTGGGGAGTACTTCTAATGTAGTAATAGGAATCTTACATGGTAGAAAAAAGACTGCTGGTATCTACCTCCAGTGCTGAAATGTCAAGTGTTCCGTATTTTTTGATAGGGAAAACATAAGTTCTAATCTTAAAGGCTATTCACTAATTCTGTAAAGTTCAGTCAGTAGCACCTGTCCTCTTCAAAGAGGTACTTAGCCAAACGCATTTGTCTGTTCCTAACTGAAAAAATAATTACTGTAGATAGCAATGTAAATGCAGATACCATGGAATATGATAGCACTGAAGCATGAACTATTTGTGGTCATATTATCAAAGAACTAAGAAGAACAATCAATTTGGTAAATGATGTTTCAGGCTTGAATCATGTTTGTGGTTCCTAAGCTATATGTAGCTTAACCTTGATAAGCAGTCAAGGAGCATTGTACATGTCTGTAATAAGGATAGTAATTTTTTATTTTCAAGAATAAAAGACGTTTAGCATCACATTATAGGATCAATCAGGTTTTTCTTTACCATGGCAGATGCATGTTTGTGTAGAGATCTGCTCTTGAACTATGTCTTCATTATGCCAGATGTTGGATACTCAGATTCACTACCTAGGTGCCTTACAATATTCTAGGGATGTCTTAAATGCTACATGCATTTGAACTACAGAAAGCTTTTGTTACCTGAAGTTCCCATTACAGAGAACGCTGTAGAAGAACAAGCTATCTTTTTATGCAGCTTATTGTGCTGAAGCTCTGAAAAGAAATAGTTTAAGTATCTTGAAACACCATCTCCAAGGGATTTGTTGCTCATGGTTACGGGACTTTTAAGACTGAATTAGACAAAACTGTATTTCAAGCTCATTATATTAAAACTATATTAAAAGCTCAGCACTTACTGGAAACTACAGAATGCAACTACAAGCACATCTTGTCTTGGAGGATTTTTTCATTTCAGAAGGGAATCAAATTCATGCTGTATCTTTCCTAGATTGTTGCATTTATAAAGTCTCCCCCCCCTTTACCCATTCGCCCCAAATCTACATACATAAGTATCTGCTTGAGTGAGCAAAAAGTGTTGAAAAGCTTTACTGCCACTGTCTGCTAGGTGATCCAGGTAGAACATTGTGCCTGTTGACTACTGGCAGGACAGGGTGACCTGGAGGTTGTGTGCTTACTACTAACCATTTGTTGTACAAAATGCATCTGTAAAATCCCACTACAGTGTTTTTGGTTTTGAAGCCCTAACCTGATAAAAATCAAGCATTTAGAAACCCTACAGTTCACCACATTAACGGAAAGCTTCAAGTAAGATATTATAGGGACCACCATTCCTCCACTTTATACTGTTGACTGGCAAATATAAGGCCTGTTATGTACCCACTTTTGGCATGATAATTTAAAGCAGGCTTCCTAGAAATGTAAAATTGAAGCATACCCATTTTGCTGCATCATATTATATATAACCTTTTTTTGCAATGTAACAATCTCTGTTGAAGCATATATATTCCCCTGCAATTCTAGTAGTAAGCAAAACAGATAGTTTACTGACCCAATTCGTATCTTCAGCATGCCACTGAAAAGTTCAGGTGAATTTGATATGATCCAACCAATATGGATGACGAGTTCTTGCTGAACCACAGCTTCTCTTTCATCTTGTAAATGACATTTTTCATAGATGATGTTCTTAATGACTCCTGGGGATAAGGGATTAGAAATGACTTCTTCCTCTTGGCCAAAAGCTCCAAGTGTCACCTGCAGTATATTGAAGACAATTCAGAGGATTTAGACAGGAATAAAAACACCACAGAACGAATTCATAAACTAAACTAAACTTCATGAGCTCTGCTTTTCATGCACAAGTTTCACAACACAAAAATAATTGGATGTCAGTTCTTGACAATTGCTAACAGCGTTAGGCAGATGCTATTAAAATAACAAAATTCAGTGAAGACCACAGTAAACATGGAGATTTTTTTCCCATATGGAAACAGAAGTGCAAGAATGTTGCTTTGGGTTCAACATTGGGTGTATAATCAAGCCTGGACAGCAGGTTTAGATGTTGTTTCATTTCTGGCATTGAGCTGTGGAGCTTACTTAAAAATAGGAATTTGCTTCATTCTGAATTTTGTTTTCTTATTTCTAATAGCATCCCAGAAGTTACAGCCTTAATTTTAAGAAATTATGTTATAATGCTGGTACTGGATTGTTCAACCACAAAACATTAAATAAAGATTAACAAATAAAACTTTAATTTGCTTTTAATCTACTGTCAATGAAACACAATAACACTAATTTTTCTCCTATAATACAGATATTTATTATAAAGGGATTGACAAATGCAAGTTTGGTTAAAAACCTGAAAATAAACAGCTGAAAATCATGCTACATGCAGATGCACCTTCCTCTATGCCTGCACAGTGCTAGAGGCACACACACAGACCTCAGTCTGGAGTATAATAGGGACATAGTAGAATTGCATATACATATATATTTTATTCTAAAAATACATAATATTCAATTACTACTACTTGGAAATAGTTCTGCATAAATTTAATTAATACTACTGTACTGGGAGAAAAATTTAAAAGTCCTCCATAGGAAGGGAAGAAATGATGATTAAAGTCTGCTTGGAGCAGAAAACTAAAATCTATAAAAATTTATTAGCCTATAGTATATCCAAATATTAAATATATTTTGATTTTCTCTAGCTTTTTCTTCTTCAGAAAGGATATTTTAAACTATTGGGTACTTTTAAAATAAGCATCTGCAGCCTTCAAAATGAAAAAGGCTGTTTATTTATTTTCTGTTATCACTCCTTAATACATTTCTGAAAATTAAAGACTTACCTGCTTGCCCTGAACTAAAACATTAGTAATAGATGGTGCAAGGCTGTCCACTAGTTTACCTAAAAGACTTGCTGCGAAGCGCACAACAGACCTGAGGGTAGAAAACAGAGCAATCCCACTACATATCAAAAGCTAGTTTAATGAATTCATATATAATTTTGAAGTATGCCACAGCATTCATAGCTCCCCAAATTAACTGAATACATACAATATTTATAATGTGGAATTGAGATCAGATTTTTATATTCTCTTGTCTAGATTTTCATTTTTTAGTCTAGATATTGGTTAATGGATCAAAAATAAATTAGTTAGAACTCATTAAACTACAGATGCCATAAAAAGCCTGTTCTTTTCTCTGCATCATCTTAAAAAACATGAAATGCCATCTTCTCTTTTGTGACATTTTCTTCATTGTGCAAGATAAGCAAACAAAAATAAGGTAACTTTTTAGGCCACCTCACAAAGATGTTGCAAGAGAAAGTACAACATGTAACATGAAGGCTTTGGTTTCTTTTCCAGTGAGGTAATGTTTTACATATACTGCACGGAAAAAAGAGACTTGCGTAAACTGCTTGGTTTCAGATGGGCTGTGTGTAAAAAAACAATTTTATATATCAACAAGACGTTTAAAGATATAAATATCTTTAATTACAATTTTTCTGATAAAATGCAAACTTAGTAGACCTGTATTCAAGCTTTTCTAGCACAGGCTTTGAGGTTGCTAAGAATCATTCATTACCAGAGCTAATGAAAGAGTTGTAATATCCTATGGTGTTAGTATAAAATTCAAACAGTCGATGTTGATTCCTGTGAATATTGCTACGCACTTTTTAAGATCAAGAGCAAAGCATCTCAAAAATGCATTAGCTGATACCATCAAAATGCAAAAAAGCCAAAAAGTCTCATGGAGTTCCATTTCAGACCTCTGGGCACTTTACCTGTTTCCCATGTACCAGTAAAGTAGTAATATGTGGGGCTATAGAAGAAGAAAATTTCTGTGCAAATGCAGCACTGTAGCGCAACACCAACCTATATGTATGTCACATGGCAATCATGGAAGAGAAATGAAAAACAGTTTACATATTTTGTTTCTAAAATACTTTTGGTTTTTATTCCTTAAAAAAACACAACCAGGGTATTTTGGTTCTACCTTACTATTGGCAAAGGCCCATTTCACTACATGAACTAACTAAAATGAAAAATGGTTTTTAAATTTATAGTCTCATCTGTTATGAATAGTTACAGAGCGAGAGAACAGAATTCAGGACAGGCTCAGCTCATTTCTTTGATAATAAGAAATGGCATTTCTACTGAGCTTCAAGGCAAAGTAATTAATTAACAACATGTAAATACTAGCCTAGTTTCTGAAACCTTCTGAAGTTATTGTGACAAAGTCAGGCTCAAAGTAAATTACTTCAGGGGGAGTAAGCAAACTGCGTAAGTGTATCAACTTAACTGATTTGTATTTGATCACCAGACTTGCTACAGAAAGCTAATAGAATTATTTTACCATACCATGGAAGAAATAAGAATATTAGTATTCTTATTTTTTCCTCATTATTTGAGCTTAACTAGAACTGTACATCTCCAATAATTCTCATAACAAAAACAGCTTGCTATTCTGTATTTCAAAAAACAATGCCAAGGAAATAATTCTTATTTTTGTTTAAGCATTACAGACAAGATCTTCAGCTGCAATGAAACAATACAGTATTGTCAGTAAAACTGTCCTTTCTTCCCCTTCTCTAAGCATGTAAGGAACCAGCTTTACTTTCTGTAAACACATTAGGAAAAAAAAAAAAAGGTGTAAACCAAAAGGAACATAATGACATCTGTATACAAACCAGAGTTTTTTGCTGCCAGCTCGTCTATAGATTCTTTCAATATGTTCACGAACAGTACCTAAACACATTTTTTAAAATAAAAAATAAAAAATAAATTAAAAAAACAAAATCAAACAAAAAACAAAAATCCACATTAAAGAGATGCATACTTTTTCTTTTAATATAAATAAGGCAATTTTGATTAGACCAGGTAATTCTGAATCAGCTCTAGCAAAGCACTTATGCTTAACATATAAGCATATTAAGCATAAGCACATGCTTGTGCTTAACATATAAGACTTAGATACAATTAAGTCCCCTATCATTCAACTGTATGCTGTTACACAAGAAGCCAAACCAAACTTCAGCTGGACTTTCTGCTCCTGTTATGACATAGCTCATTGTTGAGATATATTGGGAAGATCAATTTATGCAATGATTTGGCCTAGAAGGTACATCTCCATGGTAAGGTACATCCTCATCAAACTGCAGATTATGTTTTGGTTATGGGATGAGGCACTTTCTTGTGCTAAAGCAGCATCAGTCATGTCTTGTGTTTGACAGTGTAGTTCAGTCAAGTGATGCTATGTTTGGACAAAGGTTGTCATTGTGATATCCAAGAGATGATTTGTTTTCAACTTTGTATACGAACAATAGATCACCTGATTAATCATCCGAGACTTGAGGCTTTCCTTTTACAGGAAGCTGGGAGAGTATGAAAGAGAGGGGTTTGCACTGCTTTGTGGCTCTTCCCTGAATTACCAAAACAAAGTGACCACAAAGATACCAAAGGTACAGTGTGATCTAGCTTTGGTATTCAGGTACATTAGAGCACTACTCTAGTGAAGCTAATTATTACTTTTGCAAAGTACTGGGAATATTTGACACATACACAGGACATAATTATTACTGCTACTTTCCCTCTCTAAGCTGATTTTCTGTCTGCCAAAAACAAAGAGAACATTTTGTTAAGTGCTATATATTAAACTAGCATGATGCTGTACAAAAATGACTTAAAAAAGATGGCAGAAAATGAGAAGAGCACTGCTTCAAAGTCAAAGCAGACAGTCCAGCATTTGGAAAAGACAAAATACAGGGGGATATTACATTAATAAGAAGAGAGAGCATTCTTGTGTCAGTCCACAGTTGATCATACTGCATCAGCTTGGTGTAATGGTATCTCTCCAGTTGTACAGGGATCAAGTGGGAACCATTATGTTGAAAGTAAAAATGGTGACAAACATATTATTTAAGCTTCAGTTAGCTTCTAAATTTTAAATTCTCAGATGAAATGTCAGTGTTTCTGATGCCAGACACTGGTAATCGGTAAATTCATCTGTAGCAACAACAGTGGAAGTTGACTCAAAATCATAGCTAGTGCCTGTCAGCTGGAACATACAAGGTTCTTCAGCTTTTAATTTCAGATTTATTTTTTATTGATTGTGTGATTATTTAATGTCAATTTCAGTAATCTCTAACTGTAAGAGGACAGGAACTTTTAGTCAGTGACTCTGACTGTTTAAAACAAGGTGCATATTAATGAGGTTATCACCATCTACTGTTTCATATTGGATTGCACAAGATGTCTATACAAGTGAGGTCTGAACAGTCAGAGGCACAACAACACTTCTTTGACCTAAACGGTGTCAGTGGTCAAACGCAGTTATGTTGGTTGCTTACACAGTAAGTCTGCCTCAAGTCGTTCCCAGCGCGAGGAAGGACACAACCTACTAAGAACCAAAGAAAGCTACTGAGGCTCTTGAAGTCCAACAGCAGTACAGGCAGTGGTGGTGAAAAGCCTGCTGCATGTGCTCAGACCATGACTTCCGACTGACACTGTATTTCAACAACACACTGTGTATCAACCAATGATTTTTACTCCACTTTACATTGTTTTCTATGACATTCTTAATACAGCAGTACTGACATGATGTGTATTTATATCAAAACAACAATTCTTCATCACAAGAAACAGCTGTCCTCTATCAAAATTATGAAGCAGGGATCTATAACATGAAGTGCTAAGTTACACTGCTTGAGGAATAACTAAATGAGTATTATTGAATCTTAATGTTCCTCTTTTTCCAAGAAGTACTCATACATAGTATGAGGTAGCTAACAAAATCTGTGGGGAAAAAAACAAAGCAAAACAATCTTGCAGCACAAGCTGCAAGTCCAAGTAGCCTGTTCTGGATTATTTTACATGAGTTTAAATCTTGTGCTGTAACCCAAAGCTGTAATATAAAATTCAAGTAGAATAAACTTTACAGATATATTGAAATAACAACTGATTACCTAAGATTAAAATGAAAAATTCAATATAGTTTCACACATTTCAGACTAAATGTTACAAATGCACAAATTTGTCTTTAGTTTTAGTTTTATATACAAGGTCAAATCCCCAATTTCTTACACGCATGTGTTCAGAATTACAAATAGAGACAGCAACTGCATACAATATAGAAGAGTTCATATGCTTAGCAGCTCATTCCTCACCACACTGTGAATTTGCATGTCCCATTTAATGCAGCAATTGCTTTAATGGCAAAGAAAATAGCTACAGAACTGCTTGCATGCATAGCCATTATTCATGTTCATTACAACTAAAAATACAGCTGCTTCCTGAAATATTCAGGATACTCAAATGACAGAAGCTCCTACCTTCCTTGGTGATAAAATTCGGTCCTTCCCTTTTAAGCAATATACTTGAAAGTAATGCTTGACTTGCAAGGCAATTGCAGTCCTTAAAAAAACAGCAACAACATAACCACAAATAGCCTTCAGATTTTCAGTGAAGCAAAAAACAGAAAAGCTATTAAAAATATTAAGTGAAAACAAAAGGCCTGTAATAATTTGGCCTCAGAAATGTTTCCCGATTTTCTGCTCATGGGTCCTGTCGTTTACAGCTGAAATTCTAGTAATATCATAGGGAACCATATAGAGTATTTTCTGTGCTCCTGCTGGGCACTGGATCTAGAAACAGTCACTGGTAGTTTTCTTCTAGATACAGGAAAAACAACAGATTGGGACTTTCCCTCAATATCATTAAGAAGTTATCAGTTTATCAGTGCACATCGACTGTTGAAGTCTTTTGGACTTCAGTCTAGAAATAAAGTATTTATTTACTCATAAGATGCATGACAAATTGATCCCCTTTTAGATGGTCATTTATTACCAGAAGATTTGGATAGCTGGGGGAAATGGAAGCCAACAGCTACAGTATGACAAGCCAGAAAGTACTGATAAGTATGAAGAGGCACATCAGACGTTTTATGTCACTAGCCGTATTATTAACATTGAACCATAGCAGTAATCATGTTGATCTAATTAGGCCACTATGTACCAGCATACAGTATGTTATTTCATGAGAATGAAGTTACACTGCATTTTTATCAAGTTTTCTTACATTAAGTTTCTGCAGAATCTCGTATGTTGACTTATTTTTCCAGTCATTAATATTTACGTCTGGTTGCTGCTCAAGTTCAGAAGCATTCGGAGTGCTAGACTGTCTCTTGACTTTTGAATGTTTTGGAAGATCCAGCTCCTCCAAACTCTTAAATACAGGAACTCTGAAAAATAAGTATTTCATTTCTTCACAGTTCAAAAAAACATTTTAATTATCAAATACTTCATCCTTATTATTTACACATAGCCTTACTCTTCTGTTTCAGTGATTCTTAGGAAGTCAAGTTGCTCAACAACTGCTCCAGATATTAAAGTCTGAAATGAAAAATTTGACAATTAAAATTTAAAAAGATGCAGAAACATACGTAAGTATATAGTTGTAGTTTGATCTAGGAGCCATGTTCTCCATCTGATGCTGAAACATTTCCAGATGTTTCCATCTGGAAAGTAGTTTCTTTACAGTTCCAAATATTTTTACAATTCCACGGTGTTTTTCCTTTTTTCTTAAGATCTCACTTAGGACAAAAGAAGTCTCTCAGGGCTGCTTTCTCTTTTATGCTGGGGTTCTGCTGTTCTTTTGCCTGGAACATACACCTTAACCTACCAATATGCAGCTCTGCTCCCCCAAAAAACACAGCTGACGAAAATACCTGAGATCAAGGATTCACATTCCTTAGAGTCCAGCATGATACCCCTGTTCTGGATCATAATGTTTTTTGTTTCAGGTACATCTGAAGGATGGCTACTTTTCCTGTCAGTCTTACTGGTCTTTCAGGAAAGCACAAAATAACAGCACTTTCTACTCTGTAGTCATTTCTTAATGCAAGCCTCTTTTGCCTGCCCTGAAGTGTACAGATCAAGTGCAGCTTATGATTATTTCTTTCAGAATATTACAAACCTGAAACTCAGTGTTTCATATATATGATGTAGTAATTATAATTAATTCACTCCATTCTTTTATGAAACATTATACCACAATATTTTTAAGAATGCTTTTTGATGATTCTCATTAGCTAAACACAATTGAGCACACTCTGAATGTTTAAGTTCCATTTTCATTGTACACAAGTTTGCAGTAAAATATAGATACTGTAAGATGACTGAAAATAAAAAAGGCAGAAGTGTTAAAAGGGCACACATTTTTAAATGAAATCACATTTTGTGTACTTTACAAGAAAAACGAGCTTTCATCCAATTTGAGACACACATCCTATCTCTAAGCACTTTTAGACATATGCATCTAAATGAAGCGGATGAAGACTTCACAAAGATTCAATATATCTTCTGTTGGAATGCATGAATTATTTAAGAAAACACCACAAGTTAGACACATCCCTTGTTCTTGCCCCAACTTCTCCCCCATAATGAAAAGAAACTCTTTCCAAAACACAACAAGTATGCATTAAAATTGAGAGATAAACGGCTAAACTGATAGAGAAAGCATACTATATTCTACCAATAATTGCACTGATCACCAACATGTACCATCCCTTTATAAAAAGGGGAAGAGGGGGAAGAGAAATAAAGGTTTTGGAAAGCTGTGAAAGAGAAAGGGAAGTTAACAATAAGTAAGAGATGCAAGGCAATTTCCATCTAACCCAAACCATTTTGTATATCCTTTGCTTACTGCCATAACAGGAATTATATCTTAATAATTACTATGCTACAACATAACTAAAAATATTTTAGTTTTACATAAGGAGATGTTAGCATTTATGGATGTGGTAAAGATTTCTCCCTGGAAAAAGCATAGGACATTTTTTTATTTTTATTTTTTTAATAGATTTCACTCAGAAGTCTTCAGGGGAGTTGAACAAGTATATAACTGTATTTACATTACAGCCTCGTTACACTAACAAGTCTCTCAGTTGCAGATCCCTGGGAACCTTGGAAGTGAATTCTGCATAATTCTATCCATCTCATGTATCTACAGAAGTTATAAGACCTTCAATTCTGCAGCATTAGCTGTCATAAACCAAATCTGGCTTCATTTTGCTTTCCAAGAGATTGTTTTGAAGTTTTGGGTTAGAGCATGGTTATACACAAATTCATCAGAACTGAAGCAGTGACAATAACCAGTGACAAAGCTGGGGAGGTAGATAATGCCTCTGCTAGACCAGTCATCAATGGAATAATTCAAATAACTACAACTTTAATCTGGCACCAGAAGACAGCCTGAGGCAGGTATCTGCAATCCTTCCTCCCCTCTCTTGCACTCCTACCCAAGCAGTTCCTCTCCTGGCTCTGGTGCACGCCCAACTCACAGAGCACAGGACATATGGCTTCCTGTAAGTGCCAAAGGCAAGGCATTAGATCACTTAACTAGTTTCAATGGTAAATCATGGCTTTAGTTAACAGATATAAATTTAGACAGCTCACAGTAAAAAATTAAAGCATTTTATCTCATACAGCTTTTTTTATTAGTAGTTTTTATTTTTTAAAGTTGCATTAAAGCCAAATATTTGTATGTAGTTTTCCCATTATTTCCACAGGGACTTTATCTGTGTCTTTGGTCCTCCCTCTAACAAAAAAAGGGGTTCTTCAATAGGTATAAACTAAGATAGCGCATGTAAGTACCTAAAAACAGCACCACTGACTCAATAATTTTCACATTTTAATGAAGTAACGTTCCTGCTATAAGATAAATTCAAACAGTAAAGATGTTAAAAAAAAAATAGACCTTTGTTCTTCTAAAAATTTTAATATATGTGAAATACCTTTTTTCCTGTTGATTATCAAATCAAAAGAAATCCCTTAATGCTTGACATCATGGATTTTTTTCTTTGGTGGTAATTTCACAAGATATCTGAACATAAAAAAAACCCTCCTCCCTTCTGAAAATCCTCTGTGAAGATTAATGCTTTCAAAAGCCTCATCAAAAGGAATTAAAATAAGCCCATGTTATTTCATAGATAAAAGAAAAACTGTACCAAACATCTTGGTCGTTGACTTCTTAATTTTATGATACCAAGTAAAATGTTCAGAAGTCACATGAAAAGCACAAGTAATAGGAATATATTTACCAATATTAGGAAATAAGAACACTCAATTCAGGAAGAACACCATACCTGTACTCTGTCAACATGAACTTTCACTCCTCCAACAATCCCCTTTTTAAAGGCTGCCAACATATCTAATATCGGATTGAATCTGCTCCCTCTGAAATTTTAAACAGAGCCCCATTAATTTTCCAACGAGGTAAAAATGACACTGAAAATGATGCTTTTATCTTTCTCTACCTTATATTGTCTTCACGGATAAGTACAACAAATAGTGGACGACCATGCATTTTCCAGTATTGCTTAATGAACTGCAGCGCATTCTAGGTAAGAAAAAAGGTTAGTCACAAAAAAATACACAAGCACAATGTACTAGAGCACATGATCCAAGATATTAGAAGAGCTATCTTAAAGTAACAGCACTGAAGAACCCAAGAGGCTACAAGAAACTTGGCTAATAAATAAAACACCAAGACTTACAGATTTCTTCAAAGAACATGTTGTTTTTCAAGTACTGCTTATTCACAGATTTTCAGAAAACACTCCTGATCACAGACTAAATCTGTAGACAGACTACATGTTATGTCCTAGGAAGTATGCACAGGAATCCAAGTCCTGAATCATTGCATGGAATAACCAGCGGCACCTTCCATGCACTGGAAGTAGTTGCTCAAGCCCAGGGGACTTAACAAGTAAGCTGCACACCGCTGTCATCCTTAAAGTTGGGTAAGAACAGCAATTTTTAATATTTGTGCCAAGTTTAGTAATATGAAAGCTTCATCTGGAGGAAATATTTCCCATAAGCAGTCCAGTCTCACTCTTTTTTGCAGCCTCAAACATCTGTTTTCTCAAAACAAAGGATAATTTGCCTGCTGCACTACAGCATTCCCAATCACTTTAAGGTGAGTTTCTTTTGTTAAATAAAGATACTGTCTAGAATTCATACTGGGCTGATAAAATATTCATCTTAATACTCTTTCCAACATGAATTGCAAGTTTATTTTTGTATTAGAAGAATACACACTACACGGTGTTCACCTTGCACATTTGTATTTTATCTAACTCCACAGTTTATTCTTCTACAGACTCCATTTTTGTCAGTTTCTCAAAGGAGAAGTTAAGATAGATCTGTCTTACCTTAATGTCATCAATCAGCATCATAACATCCTGAGACATGTAGAAATCACTTAGATCAAAAATGATCGAGTAGCAAACTACGGTCTTTCCTAGTATTCGATAAATCTATTGGGAGATAAAGCTTCCATTAATCTTTTATTTAAAATATTTGGAACATTAAAGTAGCCGAAAAAGGTTAAAAATGTATTTTGAAACTATCAAAGAAATAATGAATTGTAGAACTGCTATATTAAAACAAAAACGAACAAACAAAAAACCCTACATATCTAGTTTTAAGCGCTCTGGTTTTTATAAGGTATGCAGATCTACACTGTATTCCAGTTAAACTGTCTCACTTCATCACTAATCCTGTTTTGGCCAAGTTTTACTGTAGCTAGATGCCTAAAAAACATGACAGTTTTAATAGTAACATGGAGCATGTGCGTTCTTAATAGCAAAATATGTTAAAAAGACTTAAAAAGTAAGACATATGCATAAAATAAAATTACACTTAAATTCTGTTTAAAACAGTTCAGAGACTAATGCAATGTTTTTCTGAAATTGGCATTAATAACAATTATATAAAAATTAGAAATTTTCTTGCAACAACCTTTGATGTTCCAAGGCATCCTATAGGCCTGTCCGGTCTTCCAGATAATCCCAGTTTGTCATTGACTCCCAAATGAAAGTAAGCCTGTGAGAAGTAATCACAAAAACTGAAGAAAACCTATATATGACTTCCTTATACTCACATAGGAAACTGTCTGCTTCTACTTTAATTAGGAAGCAAGCTTCATAAAATACGATCATTATTTCTATTGCTTTTATTCTCTTCCTTCTTTCTTCAAACAGCTGAGATGCATGGGTCCAACTCTTGGCTTCTGGAAAGCACCACAGGAGCCCTGCCTATCTGCACAGTTTCAAAACTCAGCAAAAACTTGTTGTTTCTTGTTTTAGGTCTTGTTTTTAGCTTTATTTATTATTATATTTATTTATTTATTTCAATAAGACCCCAACAGATCATTGACTGGCAAATATTGCTTTCTGTAATGCTTTTCCTGTGTGGATATAAAGATAAAACAGTAATATAGCAGCCATATAAAGATCCTTCCTTATTCTACTTTTAGTAAAAGCATGCAAAATTGATGCATCAGCCACAAAAAGCAAGAGGGAGGTTATCTCATTATTCATTACTTGATTCTTATTTGAGTTATATTAAATTATGCATGCCTAGTATTACTTCAACTGATATAATTTCATAATACTTAAATATTAAAGGAATAACCTTAATTTCTTACAGTGTATCAGAATAAACCATAAAAATGCAACTAAGCTGTGAGCAGAACAACATAAATGTATCAGTTATCCCAACGGAAAGTTGTACTTCTTTCCTTATTTGGGTTGTTTTAAGGTGACAAGCCCATGAATACTAAAACTTAATTCATATTATGCTCTTATAACAGGAGTTTTAAACATTTTCCTAAGCTCAATATTTCTTTATTTTATAAGAAGAAAATTCAGAAGCAAATGAAAGTGAACATTTGAACAAACATTACACTCAATAGCTTTTCACTGCTGTCAGCTTGGGGCCTTCCTGATATTGCCTATGTTTATGTATAAATACCAATAAATATTTAGAAAAGAAAATAAACAAAACTTCCTACATCAACTGTTCGTTCACACTGAATAACTATATTCAAGCTGAAAGGCATGGAGACATCAAACATTAACAGCTTTATGTAACCCATATACACATAACAAAATCAAAAGAATGTTTTTGTAGTACATAATGGAGACTCGAAAAATGGTAATAGACAAAGACACAGCCTTTTCTGGAAGTCTACTAGGAAAAGTGGACCAGGTGATTTAATCAGGTGATGCAACTTTTTTATTACATTCTTTCTAAAAGTACATGTACCTACCCACCATGAGTATAAAGAAAATATGAGAATTGTCAGAATGCCACCAGCTTTTGAAAAAGAAATCTTAACAAAGTTGTCATAGCTAAGAATTTAATTAATAATAATAAACATATATATATAGTGAAGGTCTCATCTTTTTGTCAGGGAGACCAAAGAAATAATGTATGACAGAGAGACAACAAATAGAACTATAGTAAATGTTTGGGGTATCTGTTAAACCAAAATTTCAGGTACAGAGTTTTAGAAAACAAATACAGTCAGAGAATCCCTTCTGAAATATACCATCAAGAAAACTAGTGAGCAAAAATGGGTTGAGAATTGAACAAGGTTGAATGTAAACAAGGATATTTGCTTTCTCTGTAAGTATTTTTCAGATGTTAATGGCAGTCATTATTTGGGGGTAATCATCTTTCTGAGTAAGCTGGCAAGGTTATAGTACATCAATCAGCAACGCACCTAAGACTTCTTAAGTCTGTGAGGATATATTTTCCACTCTATTTTTGGTTTTGTTTTTTCCTGTGTCCTAGGGGCTTCTAATATAGATAATGGCATCTGCCATGTGATCCTAATTTCAGAGGGAGAGACTTGCATAGTTGCAGTCATGGAACAGATCAGTAACAACTTCAGCACTGAAACTACATACATGGATTATACTTCCCCAAGACATTCAGAATTCATCAGGCTTGTTTGAGATAACCTCTATAATTAAGTTTGGCAAGACCTTCATGTACCTGGTCCATGACCAAACTTCACGTGGAGAAGTATAAATACATCAAGTGCACATCTGTGATTCTTGATCACCTTACCTGTCTGACAGCCTCCTGCAGTTTGTTAAGGCTTATTTATGTACAGACAGGACACTTTTCAAGGCTTTTTCCAGAGGAAAGGACCAGTTATAACAGAGAGTTAAACAGGCACCCAGTAATCACATGGATTTTCTTAGGACTTTTTATGTTTGCCTACAACTGCAGATCAAAGCATTTAACATTCACAACAGCATCTGTCACAGTCTTTTTGCTTTGAATGTATTTCCAGGACAAACAGGAGTGGATAACTTCAGACCCTTACTCAACATAGGCCAAAGTGTTGTACCTATTATACTAAAAATGACTGAACAAAAAGAGGTCTTGGTAGTGCTAAGAGAATGCTGAAATGGATCAGTGTGGCCTGTAAATGCCATTCACCTTTGACTACTGGCTTCATATGGCAATGACAGCTACTTGAACAGATGCATCTAAGCTGTCATTATCAGTGAGGCTTAGTACGAGTAAGGACTAACAGGGACAGCTCTTGGAAGCGAGGGGAGGCAGTACTCTGCCACAGTACTCTGCCTGTACAGAAAAAGAAAAATCTGAAGCCTTCACAGGGGATGAAGGAGGTTCTGAAAATTCCCTTCACCCAAGCAGTTTTGGCCACAGATCTGACCGTAAACTGAGGCAAAGGGATAAAGCAAGAAGGATTTAAACACCAAACTTCCTGGATATACTCAATGCAGCAGACTTGTAGAAGAAACAGTTAAAGATGACTGTATAATGCTTTTTATAAAGGCCGTACTATCAAATTGTATGATGGCTTATGCCTATTGCCATATACTCTTTGACCATTATATTCTTTCTTCTTATTTTCTATTCTTATATTTATATTCTTTGACCGTTACGCATTTGCCTGTTTGTCCATCAAGTTTCACTTAGTCTACTGCATTATTCATATTTTATTTTATTTTTTTTTTGAGAGTAGCTCAGGTAATAAGCCTAATCAGGTAATATCTGGGCTTCAGTGCTTCACTGAAAGATCTAACTAGGCATGTATAACTGACCAGTACTGGCATATCACGATACACAACTGAATTAGAATAACACACACACACACACACACACAAAAAAAAAAGGTAGATAACAAATCTAAGGAGATACAATTCTAACGGTTTGATATAAACTAATTTTCTTACAAGAGATAGACAGACAGACAGATAGGTAATTTTCAATGCAGAGTTCCTTACTTTAACAAGTTCTTTTTGAGCCCATATCTGAATTGGTTCCACCTGCTGGGGAGTCTGAGTTTGGATTCCATATGTGTTCAGAAAAACCTGTAGGCTACAAACAAAACAATAACAAGTACAATCAAAAAGTAGTCTTAGCTTTAGCAATTATCTTGGCATCAGATAGATGAGTAGCAGGATGAAATTCAACACTTCCTTGAATACCTTTAGCAAATTTAAGATGTATGTTGTTCAGCACTTACTTACTGTATATATTCTTAGTAAAAGCAAATACCTACCGTTGACTTTCTGCTATGAGGGCCACATGCACTACCAAATCATTTTCTAAAGGACCCTAGAAAACAGTGAAAAAGTAATTATTTGCATTACTATTTTGATAGATATTATGTGAACAGGGGCAATGTCTATTTGAACAATTCATGAGCATGACAGAGATCTCTGCATTGTTTTTCTTATTTCGTAAACAAAATTAAAGACCACCACAAACTAAAACTTGTAAGTCTCAGAACTATGGTAAGATTGTCCTGTCAGTAATACTTTGCAAGATGCATGTTGAAGAATTAATAACAAAAAAGCTTCTGGTATTCATTTCCACTATAGATATATATATTTTATATTTAAAAAACGATGTAGGAGAAATACTTCATTTTATACAAAAATTTGTAAGTTGTACAATCAATATATTTCCTTCCACATGATGCAACATAATACTTTGATACATATTTTTGTAAAGAGGGAAGTAACAGGTAACTGATAGTATCCATTTTAAAATAAGGAACTGATTTCAAACCTCTACTCTGAAATACTTTGATCTCACAGCTAGTAAGAGTTATATTTACACATATAAAATTACACATAATATACACTTTATATACATATATATGATGTATTATGTTAAACAGGAGATAACAGCATTTCCTTGCATTGTTTATAACAGATAATTCTATGTTTGAAGTAAGAAATGGTATTTTACATTAAATCAGGAAGTCATGCAAATATGAATAAATTCAGTATGTTGGATGAAATAAAAAAAATCAACATCATGGGTCTTGAAATGGCTTTTCTTTTCAGTGGCAATATGCATTACTAGCTAAAAAGATGACAGGTCTGAGTTATTCCCTGTTTATTTATTCTCTGTAGTTGAACATGGTTGAAAAAAAAAAATCAAAAGAACTAAAAAGAGTGCACATTTTTGTTCCTAAGGAATTTGTGTTGTTTTATGCCTACTTTTGTCTAGATACTACCAGAACACGAATGACAAAAATTAAATACATCTTCTATCAATTGATCCTATAGAAATGCAGCATTTTCTGTGCAGATAGGTGGATAGATGAATTAATTTGGAGCAAAAAGTTTGGAGTGAACACTTCCTTGTTCAGTCACCTATGAGCCTTGATATCAAGTTAGATCTTTGGGATTTACAGAAGTAATTCCTGATAACATGTTCCCAAAAGTACATCCACACTATATTTCTGCTAAAAATGCTGGTGGTTTTGCCACATGAATAAAAGATGTGCACAAACAGATCAGATTAAGAAATCAAAAGTTCAAGTGGCATTAACAGATGTTCCTCTCAGAATCAGTTAATCATGTTATCGATCTCTTTTATACAAACACTAATAAAACACAAACCAGTTCTCTACCACAATCAGTGTCTTGAAATTTTAAAATAAAGAGGAACAACTCCCCAGAGAGCGAGGCAGCTCCCTGCAAGACTGCTTTGATTTGTATGCAGCCTGTGATCTAACTTGGGAGCAGTCTTCAAGTTAAGACTCAGCTTGCTTAATTATTACTACATCTCAAAGAGTGGGACTAGGTAACCAGCTGAACATAAATCTGTATTCTGAATCTCCACAGGGGTATGTCCTTCTGTGGTACCAGTACTAATGCCTCTCACATACAGATGCATTCAATGTCATGCCTCATTTATAGCAGCCAGTAAGTGGTGGTTCTAACATGGTCCATAATTGAGCAAATGCATCTGTTGCACAACTGGCACATCACCAAATCTGGTTATAAGGTATTGTCCCTAAATAAAAGCAAATACTTTTTATTAACTTAACAAAAGGTGGTCATTAACAAAGTAGACACTTTGGATTTCCCTGTGGATTTCACAGTGGATTTCCCCTCAGAATTAGACTTCCCCATGTGGTTTTATCATTTCCTCCCTACTCTAATTTCATCATGTCAAAACCTGAGATTCATATGAATGTGTCTTGAACTAAAAGTCAGAAAGAAAGCCTCAGAGGTATTCATGGCAGCTAAGTACAGGCTTATGAGGCTAAAAACCAGGTTCTAAACGCACCCTGCTTTTGTATGACTAAATCTCTGTATTTGCTGCATAATTATATCTATAGAAATGAATACTCAGGCCAGAAAACAGTTTAATGAATTGCTGATCCCTTAATATCTCATTCAAATCTATTTATTGTGTGCTGGGTTTCACGGATTGATGAACTAGACAAACTAATTTATCAACACCTACTGCAATTGTTATTGAGAAGACTTGCTGCTTCCATCATCTTTATTTGAGAAGACTTGATTGTGTAAAAACTGCCTGACTTTGAAAAAAGTATTATGGACAAATGTTAAAGCAAGAGCTGCATTCATTGTCACTTAGCACGTAAAGACCTGAAGGATCACAAGTATTAAGTATTCTAGAAAAAACACAGATAAAGTAACAGACAAACTATTCATGAATAGTGGCACCCTTTTCATTAGTGATAGTGACACACTGCGCTATGTATTAAAAAAAAAGATATAGAAAAACATTAAAGTCCTAAATAAGTCCACTACCTAAATCCTACTGTTAAAAGTTTTTTAATGTGTGCTATTTCACATTTGTGTAATAACCCAAGCCAAACTGCTGTTGACACATCAATCACTGTCTCCCTGGGACACTGTAACAGACCCCCCTCCGCACCCTTCTGCCTTGCATTTTCACATTGGATGGTGGGGAGAAGGATCCGTTTCAACTACATCCTGCATGCTGTGCAAATGATAAATACACCCTGGTGTTTTCAGAAGACAAAGGTAAAAGACAGATTAGTTTTGCTTGCTCTCCAAAAAATTCATGGTTTGTAACAAGGTTATAAACTGTCAGAGGCAGGCTGAAGGGAAAACCCCTGACTCCATTCCTGGCACTGGAAGAGAAAGCAGCTCAATATCAGTCTTTTGCTGCAGCCTCACTGGACAGATGCTATCGCTATATGCTTTTCTGCACAAATTCCCAGGAAATCTCAGAACTCTGAAAAAAATCCATTCATTTTGAACATGTGAGAAGAAGTGGACATATTATTCAAGAACACAGATTGGAATGGTACCTATTGGGCTTTCCAAGCATATGGAGCAATAGGAGGAAAACAGAAATAGAACGCAACAGAAGAAATTGTACTTAAGCCAAAGAATCCACCTTGCTGCTACTAAACTACAAATGATACAGAATACATCTGCTTCTGAAAGCATCTAAATACTGCTTAATGGTTTATGGTCAATACTACTAACAGACTAAACCTCACTAATGAAATACAATATGGACATAGGTGTGCCATAAATTCCAGAATAATGTTTAACCATCTCAGAATTGTGTTAATACAATAGCCTACTGAAGTTAACACGAATGAAAGGAAAGAATATACTTATAAGCAACATTACGAAAAAAATCATTAAACACGATAATCTTTAAACCATCAAAATTAGACACTCTATAAACCTGAGCATAATTTAGGTAGCTGAAAGATTCTAACACATTCCAGCCTACCTATACTTTGCAATTTTATTTCCTTTTTTACGTATGTTACTTGGTTTCCTGAAAATAATAAATAAATGAAAATAATAAACAGTTCACAATTTTGACTATTCCCTTCCCAATGTCACCAGGGGGCATTAACTTTCATTTCCAATAACATAAGTGAAGTCTTTACAAATTAAGTCTACAAAGCAAAACACTAAAAGGACATACTCACAGCATGCTGACAGACAATGTCATGAATTAATTGAAGCTCTATACTTATATTTCACATTAACCCAGAAGATCAATTAGTCTAACCTTGCAATTTATTAACATCATTTTTATTGAATTCAAATTTAGTATGATGGCAATAAATCAGCTTTCATATGCTCCAGTAAAACACAAAACAAAAACAGAAAATCCTCACCCCAACTCATGACATTTCTCATATGTTATTGTTACTACTGCAGACCCTCATATATGCCAAATTCTCCCAAAAGAGAATGCAACAAATGAAACTTATAATCTCTTCTGGATATGGAGATATTGAACAGGAACAACAAAAACAGCTCTTCTAAGAGCAACGAAGTTTTGAAGAGTTGTCCCCGCTGAAAGAGAATGCCCTGCATTATCTTCTTTCAGTAAAGTAAATGGAGCATGGATGATTCCATGCTTTGCATTGTTGTTGTTGTTTTTTTGTTTGTTTGTTTTGCCTTTTTTTTTTTTTTTTTTTTTAACTTGAAAGGTATTTACACTGAAATGCTACTGACCAGTTAGCCTTACAAAGCAAATTACTAGCGCAAAGGAGGAACTCTCTGATTGCCATCAGACTCCATTATGTTTTGGAACACAGTCTAGAGCTAGCAAAGAGAATCCTGCTGCAGCACCACACTGGTACTTCCCCAAAATGGAACACAGTGAGACCTCTTTCCGAAAACTGAGACATAAATTCAGGAGGGACATTAAAGTATGAGAAAAAACATTTCCTTTTAATTATAAATAGAATAGGTAGTTTAGTATTAGCGGTCATTAAGTTTTTAATATACTGCTCATTTGATCCCACAATTTTCCACAGCAAATGAGACTGCCCTCTTTTTATCAGATTTTGAAGGCTGAGTGATCCATTCACAGCATTAATATATTGACATTCGATGTATTAACTCTACATAAAACTCCCTTCCAAACAACCACTGAGGTCCTTCAATCAGACCACATTTCTGTGTGCCTGTAGGCCCATATTCTACAGGAAGGGCAGCCCTTCAGAGACCAGAGTTTATATGCAGCAAACCTTACGGTATAGCCTCTTCAGTACGGTAAAATGTTTCCAACATATTAACGGCTGGTTCAAAAAAAATTGTTTTGTTTATTGGATTTGTTATTGTATATTTCTACTATAGAAATAAAAACAAAAATACATTTCAGAACAAATTCTAAGTGAATTTCAATGTTAGAGGAATCATTATACATCCTTAGTGTTACTACTTAGTTTCTTTTGTTCTCTTTGTTTCGAGCTAGTAGCTACAGCACAGTTACATTAACATCCTTACATTCCTGTATAATATGCCTCAGCAACGACTGCAAAACCTTAGCAGAGGTTAAAATGGTAAGAGCATATCAGTGCTGTCAATTTTCAAAAGGTTATATGGAAAAATAGAAGACTAGAATATGGCACTTTCTCTTCTGACTAGAGTAACTAGAGTAATATCAGACTAAGTGGTGAACAGAGAAATGTGAAGGGGTAACATTACGAAAGCTGAATTAATTGAGCGATCTTAATGACCAGAACAGTTAAACTTTCCTAACTGTACTTCTCCAGCGTGAAACTACAGGCTTACATGTATATGCGGCTCATCTCATGCTTTACGCTCAACAGCTTGTACAGGCAGTTCAATACAGCAATACCACAAGGTTTACATCCACAAAAGGACAGAGTAAAGAATTCCTCCGTAACTAATGATAGTGATAGCTTGGCACAGAGCTCCTCTATCAATACTGCTAAACGTTGAGAAAAGAGCAACACAAAAGACCAGAAATAATAAAATACATTGAACAATTGTATGTATCAAATCAAAACGTGGCCCATATCAGAAGGACAGCCAGGAAGAAAACGTGATGATGGCTGTAGTATTTTTCCACTTGTTCACATTTAGAAGCATTGGTAGTGTTGTACAAGTCAGTAATGTAGGAAGTTTCTCAAATATAAGAAAAAATGTATCTGAAATTTTTGAAATTCTTTCAAAGCTTTAAATTCCTTTAAAAAGTTTATTTTACACCTGGGACCAAACAAAAATTTAAGATGAAACAACTGATTTGAAGTAAATTAGGTAACAACACAGTTCTTTCATGTTATTAGTGAAAATATTGAAATAATCTCTGACTCTGCAGAGGTAATTTTTAGAGAAAGGAAGGTTACTTGCCAACAACAACGGCTTTCATGGTGAGTTTGCCTTTGTAGGCTTATATGCACCTTACTTAATATGCAGTATTTAATATTTTATGCTTCAATAACAAATGCAAAGTGCTGAAAAAGAAACTTTTCAGATATATATTTCTCATACTGAGGAAAAAAAAAGGCTCAAAAAACTTCTTTTAATTGCACATTTTCATACATCCAGTTCTTACTCTTTAATAAAAGAAGTCCTCTACATATATACCTGGTTTTTGGTTTTTTATTCTGTTTACTGCAGATTTTTTTTACGAGGTTCCAAGCACTCCCCATCCCTGGGCACTCATTCCTGCCGTGGATTTAAGCCAAATTCAGGAACACATGGATACACCAAAAAAAGAATTTCATACTTGTAGCTCTTAGGAGCTCTAAACAGAAATAATACTTCAAAACTCTGAAGTGGTGGTAAGTAACTGGAAGTTATAAAAAAACTTAAATTTTCTCTTGCCTTTCTGACCACGTTAAACCACAACATCTTACAACTCAAAGAAATGCAATTACTAGCAGCTATTTAAACTTATAATATGTATCATTTTGATTTTATCACTTAATTTGAAAGCAAACATACCACTTCCCAAAAACCCTAGATGTTAAAATCTTCCTTTTAGAAGTAATTCTCCATCTATAAAGCAAATGTACACACAATCTTGAATTTTCCTAGTACTTTCTTTCATTCTAATATTAGAAGAATGCACAATACATCAATAATGTTTTCAGCAAAAACACTGTAATACTAAGGTTAGGCTTACCTGGTTTGAAAATCTCATGCTAACATTCCGCTGATCTTGTGGAGGTACATAACGTCCGATGGGATCAATATCTTTAGGACTTACTAATTTGTCAGCTGAAAGTCGATGATAATAAAAACACAGAATGACTTGAGTGCTTTCTGCAGTTTCAGTGAAGGAGGCATGCAAGCATTTTATGTGGTCAGTCTTGCTGCTGTAATCTTTGTTTTAGATCAGCGATTTACACGACAAAAGGGCAGTCTACAAAATCACATTCAAACTTATGATTCAAGTATCATTCTTGCTACATGTAGTTAGAGTACTATAGTACTTATAAAGAGTGCTTCACTTTTTAATAAAAACCTATTATTTGATATGGAGAGTACCCATACACGGGTATGGGGAGAGAGGAGGAGGGGTTGGGAAAGCAACCTAAACTTCCATGATTTTAAACTTTTTCCTGAAAGAGAATTAACTACTCCAATAAAAATAAACATCTGGATAATGAATAAGTTTCTGAATACTATGCTGTGCAGTAAATTAAGACAGCAGTTTATAAACTCAAAATACATCCTGGCTCAGGCCTATCAGTGTTTGGCAGGAGCAGGGAGCTGAATAGATGGTGCAGTGGAAAGCAAACGCTTGGGCAGGCAGTGAAGGGCACTCTGGCTGGGCAGTGCACTGAAGAAGCCAAGAAGGAGCCTGCTGCTGTTGGGAGCTGTGCCAGCGGTTCTGAGCCACCAGATCCTGTGAGCCTCTCCCCCAGCCACCTGCTGCCAGAATGCAGCCTGGCTCCCGCGGGGAAGGACCCAGCTCCCTGCTCTGGACTCTTCCTGCAGAATTACAGGCTACGTCCAGGTGGTTGCATTTAAAAAACAAGCTAGATCATTAAAAAAACAAATGATTTTAAAATGTAGAATTTATTAATATACTAACCCATCAGTAATCAAAACACATTTTAAGGAAAACAGTCATCTGTTTTCAGATGCATGTAATCAGACTTCTCATGCTGGCTAAAGGCATGCATGCTACTTAAATTATTTGCAGTACTGATGACACTATAAAATTGATTGACCAAACAACTGCAAGACCAATGGCCTCTGCCTAATAGTACTTAAAAGCAAGAGCTGTTCCCAGAATTCTTGTTCTATCTCCTCTATTTTTTAAATTGACTTACACGGCTGAGAAATTTACATATGTAGTCAGAATTATTTCCTATTGAAGATGAGTAGTAACAGAATAATATGAAATTTAAGCTATTTTTAAATATTTACACTTTTATTTAAAAATAAGCACTCAGTGTATGTTCATTGCCATTATCAGAAATGCATATTTACTGGAATCCAAATTTGGTCTATTCTAAAAAAAAAAAATAAATCCTAAAAACTCATACCTTATTTCTAGGGAGCACAGAATCAAGAAAATGCATGTAAAAAATATAAGAAAAGGCAGCCAGTAAATGAAAAAAAAAAGAATTTTCAATTGCATGGAACAGCTGTATGCCTAGTGGCCGGGCATTATTTTCTCTTCTTCTACAACAGAGACCCTATTGTGAAAGCTTGCAAACTTCCTCAACCAAAGCAACAAAGAAATTCTCTTGAAAAACAGCATTACTGCATGCAAAATACGAGGGAATGTCAGGAAAAAAAAACAACAAATGAGAAGGCTATTGTGTTTAGAAGATTTTCAGTATTCTATAAAATATATCAGTAAACTTCATATCATGCTTCATGCAGCATTAAACTTCAACGTGAAGAACAAAAGGCAATTTTTGCCCATCACATATGTACCAAAGCAGAAGACACACATGCTACCCATACTACCCGGAGTCCTTTTGAAATTCAAGCCTGTATGTTTGTTCAGATTCAAGAAAAACATTAACAAGATAAATATCCTTTATGATGAGTCAAAACCTGATAGAATTTCTTCAGCCTCTTACCCAAGAGCTTTGCAATGATGTAAACTGCCTGTCCCCACAAGAAAAACTTCCCATCGCGTCCACTGTTACTAGGAAATCGTTTCTGACTGCCAGGATTCTTCTTTTCCAGTTCAACAAAATCAGCTGGCACATAGTAATACTTGGGTACAACAGGACACCCTATGGAGTTTTAAAATAAGTACAGTAAGTAAATAAATCAAATTCTATTTCCAATATTATTTGATTGTATTCCCCTAATAAAGCTGAAGTGTTATCCAGGTAGCTATTTGAACAGACAGACTGTTGTCATTCATCATTTTCTCTCAAAACCACAATCAGTGTCAGAAACCCAGAACTACAGTAAACTACTTTATTTTTCACCAAACATTTCCACAGAATTTTTTTCCTAGAACATATACACCATCTGTACTATACAAAAGTGTTTCCACTGAAACATAAATGCAGTACAGATAAGAAACCATACCCAAAAGAAATGAAATCTGCATTAGAGCAGAACACTTTGGGTTTTCTCCCTTCATGTAACAGTCACCTCAGTACTAGACAACTTGTTGGCCAAAAATGGTCAAACAATCGAAATAATGCTTGCAAGAGATTATTTCAATATTAGTATTTTGCTATCATGAAACAGTGATATTATTTCTCTTTTTGTTTACTGCAATGTCCATTAACAGAGTAAGTATTTTTTATAGTTTCAGACAAGAAAAAATTAGTGTTTTGAAAGAACAATTATCAAATAATACCTTCAGATGTATGTTGAAGCAAAGGATCCAGAAGATCCTGATATTCTTTTACTTGTGCAGAATTTCCTCTAAAAACACCTACAAAAACAAACAAAAAATAATTAATTCAATTAAAGAAATAACTGTTCTGTGAATTCAGTGTTCATAAAAGAAAAATCTAGCGTTTATTGTTCTGTGGTGCAGTGCCTACAGACTAAATTGTTCATGAAAAAGTACAACACTAAACTAACTGCTCGCTTATTACCACAGCTAAATCTCACAGGGATCATGAGTCAGACATTGTTTTATTAGCTTAAACTGAAATCAATTGCAAATTACATCACAGAGTAAAGCTGTGAACTTATAGAGGTTCTGAAGTGGACTAGATCTCAGACAACTAGCCCAGCTAGCTGTAAATAACTTCCTTAATTATGGTAGAATGAAGAAGCAGAGTTTGTATGCCAGGGTGGAGACACATAGGCTGTTTCTAAATATTCAGGACAGAGTTTCAAAATTATCTAAAAATGAATTGTCTAGAACTCCCAATAAATCAATACAATAGGAACTTGAAAAAGTAAATTGAAAAATTCCCCCCAAAGATATTTATATGGAATCTTTACATTGATAAGTTATGTAGACAGAGTAATTTTAACATGATAGAGATTAAGAACAGGTGACACATCTTGAGATGCTGAATACACAGTCAAGCTTTTATGATGATGCTTTAGGGGAAAAAGTGTTAAGTTTGGAAGTACCAGCATCTTAAACATTTTTCTAGTAGAATTTACTCATCTCAAAATTCGTCTGATGAATACTATTATGACCAGTGCTCAGTTCTTACATGAAAAGATGCATCAAAAATAGCAAAAGCATTTCCGCTCATCAAGGAAAACTTGGATGAACTTGATAAATAAGAGTAATGTTTTTTATAAACAGAAATGTTTTTGAACATTTAAAGGGAAAGAAGTCAAACTTTTCATCTTTCACTCTTGTGCATGTCCTTTCTTTCCATGTTTCCCTTATCCTACAAAACCACCATAATCTCCAGATTTGAGTAGAAATTTAAAAAAGCTTTCGAAAACACTATTCAAATACTTGTTATCCCCCCCAAACACACATTGATTTATTTAGTTCAATCCTTCCTTGCAGCTACAGATGCATATCTACTATCTACAAAGTCCTAAACAATTTCCTTTTGAGAAACATCCCAAAGAGAAATTAGTACTAAAGCAGTCTTTTTGTATCTTAAGAATTGTTATTTCTGAAAGGCAAAAGTAAGACAAAAGAAAACCACAAACTAGTAACTCATTCATCAAAAACAAACATACCAGAACATCTTATTAGAAACAGTTTAGCCATTTTTGCAATTTAAGTCTCTCTGTATGCACTTCAAATTTTGCATTAATGAAGCTTGTGGATTTGGATGCAAATGCACAAAATCATTGATGTAATTGTTCTATTTGCTTAAATTGAGCTACGGGGAAAAAACAAAACAAAACAAAACAAAACAAAAAAACACTAGGACAATATTTGCAAGGTATGTATTTTGTACTTTATAACACAAGAAAAGTAGAGAAACTAACTTCAGTTAAAGATAACTGTATTTTTTGTTCTTCCCAAAACTCTAAGTGGGCAGCATAAAATGTCAATGCCTTTCTCCCGTATTCTTGGGGGCTTCACTCCTTTTGAAAAAAGTCAAGCATTCCTTCAGAAAAATCAATTGTGAAACCTTATTACATGTTCAAACAAAATATTTTAATCTATGGGTGAGCACACAGGAGTCAAGGCAGACAGCAGACTTCTATGCCTCTCGCAATCTTTATTTGAAAACTATTTCACACACTGAAGAGCAAAAACAGCTGCTAGAAATATGGCCAGATTTTCATCCATTTACAAAGCTGAAAGACGCATGAATCTTTTTGATGGCTGTAACCCTTACTGATTTTCTTATTCTGACCTTCCTTCTGTCTGAGTTCTGGCTTCCATCCTGAAATCATCCTGTGAACTTTTCTAGTATGTCTCCTAACCTCAAGACAAGGTCTGTCAGTTGTGGATGTATTTATTTATTCATCAGACCAACTGGCTACATGTAAAAACATAGCCAGGAAGCAAAGGCATCTAAAAAGAGCAACTAGGCCTTCTGCTTTGCTTTATTATCTTCTAAATTCTGTTTCATTTACCCCAGAACAATCAACTTGAAAATATCTGTGACAACATTCAGTTTGTCATTATATTCTCTATTCTACTTCTTTTTCTCTCATGTGCTGCTATGAAGTACTGATACTGTGGAAGTCTTTAAGACTTAAAAAGCAATGCAAAAGTGAATGTCATAGATTTAAGCTTCTGCAAAATGTATATTGAGTTATATTGTAAGAACAGAGTTCAAGTTACAAATGCTGAAATATGGGTGTTTTTTGGTTTTGTCCTTTTTTTTTTTCTCCTGTTGTCCTGTTTTTTTTGGTTTTTAACCCATGAGGCAGAAATTTCAATGAGTCTTCCTTAGAGCAGACACTGCTTGTATATGCAGGACAAAAAATTATTTTGTATTCTTCATCTAAGGGCCTGTAATGCCTTTATAAAACAAGACAAAAAGCCATACTTACCATCAATTATCATGAAAATAAAGAACAGAGGGAATTCACATTCAATACCATCAAAAAGCTAAAAAAGAAGAAAAAATCATCAGCTATTTCAGATCCAAATTTCAGTTTCAGGAAATACATTTGCATATCCTATAGAACTATTTCAAAGCAACAAAAGACAAAGATGAAAGTGAAAACATTTTAGGACACCAGCTTTTCATTTAGCTTACAGCCTCTTAATTCTACAGGCATTTCAACTGTGCTTTTACATATGGCTCATTCTCAAGCAGAGTATTTATATAATCTATGTTTTATTTTCCACAGAGAAACTATTGGGGAGTAAAAATAGTAAATTTTCATTTAGATAACCTTTACTGATAAACACTGTGGTCAAAAGCAAAACTGTTTTCTATACACTCTGACTCTAGTCAGCTGTGAAATTAAATAAAATGATAAATAACTTTCTTATTTGTTATGTGAAATCAACTATACCCTAAATGTAAATGGAAGCACATTCATTACAAAACAAATCAACGACTAACTTGCTGACTTAGCAATCTCTCAAAACTGCACATGCCAAATTACAAAATGCATCTCTCCTTCATTTGAAACAATTGGGAATCGCTGTGCAATTCAAACTGCGAGTACTAAAGGTGCAATATCTGTTTTATTTTTTTAAGTATGGCCTAAACACTTCAGAAAACCGAAACTTGCCCCTATATATATACACCAAGTACCTTTATTTCTGCTGGTTTATAATAGCGCCGTGTTTTATCCTCCAGTGCTGTTCTGTATCCATCCCTCAGGAATCTTTTAAACCCATATTTTCCTTTTAATTTCCTAATAATTTTATCTAGTGTTTGATTGAACAAAACCTCATCATCCAAAGCAAATGCAGGATAACTGAGACAGGGCAGAAGAGCTGCATCAGTATTCTGCAGAAGGAAAGGAGAAAATAGCAAGTCATAAGTTTAATTAAATCTCTGAAAATTATTTGATGCACAAAGACTATTTAACCTACTGAGTAAAATATACATTTGAAACAACCTTATATTTATCAAAATCACAGTAGTAATATACTGAAGTAACTTGCAAAATGGGACTTCTAAAATGTTTAAGAATAAACCATAAACCCAATATTCAGATACATGATTTGAAAGACAAAGAACTCATTTGACTCAAAATCTGACCTACTTTAGAGTTGATAATCTGTTACAACTGATAACTATCGGTTGATATTAAATGAACATATTGTGGAACATTGTGTTTTTAGAAGCAAAAAAAATAGCCTCCAGCTTATTCCTGGAAGAAAATCAAACATTTGGGTATCCTACACACAAAAAAGAATCCCAAACAATTTATAAAGGTGCAATGCTGAGAAGTAACTATGATTAAATCATCATTTCTGAAAAGCTTTTTCAGGAATTGTCTCCAACTGCTGTAACAAACAAGCCTATTTGATTTGATTCAGGAAGTAAGGGAATAATTTCAGGAAAAAAGGTGGCATTTCTCAAGAACTATTGGCAACTATCACAAAATGAAAACACAACAAAAACTATTAACTAGTATATCACCACTACAAGTTAGTTATAGTTTAATGTTAAACTAAAAAATTAGCTGACAGTGCCTTTTAATTATCCAGCATTATCACTCTGCTTTGATTCTTCTATACAATGAGTAAACTATTAATGCTGAAGATTAATAGTCATTTCATGAACCAAAACGCTATTAGATCCCAGAATGAAAAAGCAGTAGAACTCCATTATCACTCATATTAAATTACCGTCTTTCAAAGAACAAATTTACCTTTGATGCTAATACTGAAATAGACGGGTTTTGATTAATTTGTACTTATGTCACTTAGACTTACTCACTGATAAAATACTTACTTACAACAGTGGCTTATAGTAACAGGAAATCCTCCATATTCTGCAATTACTGAAAAGCCAACCTTAAAGGCTTCCTTTCTATACAAAAGAATAAATTAAAGCTAAAAGAAATGTACTCTTTCAGAAATGCAGTCACTGAATTTGTAATGGAAACTGAGCCACTAGGGTAAAAACAAGACAATCACCAAAACTGCAAGCCTTACTTAACTTACTGCAGATCACTATTACTTTTAATTTTATTTTGAAATTATTTAGAAAGATACCAACAGGCTAACATTCTAACCTAAGTATTTTTCTAATAAAGAATGCCCTGTTGATTTCACTTCAGAGACACATCTACATCACAGTGATGTTTAAGAAGCCAAAATTTAACACCTTCCCAACAAACTCCTATCCTTATTAAGCAGAACAAACTGGCTGTCATAAAGCTAAGAATTATGTTCATACCCATTTATTTTCTCCACACACCGTTAAGGTGAATTCCATTTAATTACTTACATGAGACCTTGACTCTCGGGGTAGCAATGAACACAGGGTCTGTCTGTTACGGTTATGAGCATCAAAATCCACAAATATAACAGACCAGGAGCAGCCCTTTAAATAGAACATGAAATTTAAGGAGAAAGGAAAAAAGGTTGGCACATGCTGGTGAAACTAAACAGCTCTTTGTTTTAATAATGTTATGCTGTAATAGTCTAGTAGCTGGCAACTAATCAGAAAATGAAACATAATATTACAGTGAAAATGCTTGGAACTTTCAAATATTTTAAAAATAAAGCCAAAATTTTTTGAAAAACATAGAAGAACTTGAAATTTTAAACAAAACAATGTGTTTTTGTCTACTAGAGGTTATGAATTATTTATTCAAGTTATAATCTCTTAATTGGACATTCACGTGATGTCAGAATCTTTACTATTAATTACAATTAAGGATTTAAGTACTGCATAAGTAAGGATCGTATCTGAATTCCTATGCCAAAGCCATACATATTAACTACTTCATGTAGATTTATAGCTGTTGTTCAAACATACACAATAGATTGGGAATAAATTTAAGAAGTTTAGCATAGGATGTTAAAGTAAAATAATGAGAAATTAAGTAAAGAGACAATTTATTTGTTACATTAGAAATTCTCTTCTCGATGTGTAAATAAATCTCCTTTTGCTGACAAAGCGGTTAGGGTTACACCTTGACTGCATTCCTATGCTTATAACTCCTGCTTTTTAAGAAATAATTCTAGTATAATGAAGATATAAACAAATAGCATTAAAAGCCATGTATGAACTCTTCCTTTATATTAAAGCACATAAAATTCAGAGTACATGAAAAGCCAATTGTTTCTCAGTTCATAATTGTTCTTTATTCTACCTGGCACCTAACAAAGATTGCAATACAATTAATTGAACATAAATATAGCCGTGCATTGTTACATTAAAAAAAAAAAAAAAAAAAAAAAAAAAAAAAGAGCACGATTTCTCATAGGATTTATTTTTTTAAAGTTTCTGTATTTCTTGGAGAGGAGGAGAAAGCAATAGTTCAATATGATTACCTACAACCAGTAAGTAAACTTTATGTCCTCTTGGGATATTTGCTTGAATGCACAGGGCAACTTCCCCATCACGAGATACTCCAAGACATACAGCATACAAGCATGTGAGAGCAGAGATACAGTAATATGGATATATACACAAATATTTACTAGTTTCTCCCTGTATGCACAGTGTGAGTGGAAAAATCTGCATGGAAACGTTGAGCAGTCTGTCGCCAGTGATTTGTGCAGGTTGCACTAAGTGTAGTTGCAGGTGCAGTTCCTCCTGAGGGGCTCAGCAGGATTTCTCAGAGCTATTGGAACACAGCTGGAGCTAAGCACAAAGGCAGGCTCTGCTGCAGACTGAAGGTCAAAATGGTTTCTGCTTATGCAAAGTATCTTGGAAATAAATTCTCAGAGCATTTAAACTTGCTTTGCTTCAGCAATTTATTCATCCACTTCAGAATTCAGTAAAATATCATTTGAAAAAAAAAATATAGCAGCCACATTTACTGCTGCTTGAGATTATTGGGAAGGTAAAGATTGTAGATAAATATTTCTTCTGAAATATTGACAATGTACGTATAATGTCTGATCACTACCTAAGATCCTTAGTTCCTAACTAAGCTCCTAGCTCCTATTTCTTAACACATGGCAGCAGTTTCAGGAAGTGAAATAAACCAAAACTACACCTATGGCTATGGCTATGTCTTTTTGTAACAGTGTGTGTGTGTGAGGCCATTTTCATACTTCTCCACTCAGAAGCAAACAGCCATTATTATATCCCTGAAGTATAACCTACAGTGAAAAACTCTGTTGTCCAAGGAAAAAAAAAAAAGGAACAATAAAGAAATATCCAGAAAAATTAAGTCTTTAAGAGTCAGAAACCCTCATATTCAGGGATACATCCTGCACTATTACTTAAGAGAAAATAAAAAGGTCTAAAAATAATAAGTGCTACAGTTTTTTTTATCAATAGAAGATTTAAAACAAAGTCTATTTAAAATTTAAAATTAAATTTAAAACTTTCATTTTTCAACCCATGCATTGCAATAGTTCTAAAAAGTTCCAGTCAAAACAGGACTGTATTTTACTTATTTATTTATTTTTATTTCTGTGACTACATGAATAAATTAAAATTATAATAAATAAAAATTATATTTTTATATTTTTAAAATAATTTTTATATTTATTTTTATTTCTGTGACTACATTGTAAGAAAGTACTTTTTGTCCACTATGAGAAAGATCTTAATGATTTTTTTTCAGATGTTCAAGCAACTTTTTGTTGCTTGAAAGAGCTTCAAGAGTTCAAGAGCTTCTTGAACTAGCTCCCTGTCCCTGAGCTTTCCAATTGTTCTAAGAGATGCAGAATGCTGAGTAATAACGTTAGCTGAAGTGCAGAAACCCTCACTAGTAGTTACGTACAGTCACAAATAAAATGATTATGATTGAGAATAGTAAACAGGGAAGTACTAGTTGGTGAATGCGATCCATGGTTTAAAAAGCTCACAGCAATAAAATGATGGGCTTGTCCAAGGGGAGTGAAAAAACTGTGGAATGGCATCTGGAAAGCCTTCACGCTAGTATAAAACAGTGCTACACCTTAACAGATTTTTCTTCTCCACAAATGCAATATTCGGGGAATGTAGCAGTGTCCTTTACAATTGAGGTATATTGGCATGAGCCTTCTCAGAGTGCTAAAGCCAAGCAGCATGAGACAAAAACCATCTCAGAGGCAAGGTTATACAGAACACTACAGTATGTCCTAGATTACAACAAGAAACTGACATTAAAAAATTATAGATCCAAGCACATTTTCTGCAACAATCTTGTACCTCCCCTCAAAAAAACCCAGTAGATTCTTATCACTAAGGTGTATGCTCATGAAGGGTTGTGTAAGATAAATTTTTATTATGAATTTTCAAAGCATACTAATACTACAATAGTCAAGGACAAGCTTCCTACTGTTTTCAGCAGTACCAGACTGTACATAGAAGTCACTTCTACGTTTTGTTTAACAGCAAGTGTTAATATACAAATGCAACTGTTAATCTAGAATAGATTAGGCTTTTTAAATTCATTCTATGTAGTTTCTAGATAAATTTATGCTGAAATAAAATATTATATACAAGTAACATCTGTACACAATCCGTATTTCTGTACTATGTAGCTCACCCACAAACAGAATACAGCTATGTGTTTATATGCTTTGCGTGACTGCAAAATTTCAAAGTAAACAATATTTAAGCTTTACAGATTATTTTTCAGTTAAGGACATTTGAGCATGTCACAAAAGGGCTAATAATTGTGTGTTAATTAATATAAATTAATTCTAATATGATTGTTCCAATACATACCTTACATTTTGCCAGTAGAAAAATGGAGACAAATAACTTTTTTTTTTTTTTTTAATAAATCAAGTAGTACAGAAATGAACTTGGAAAGTAATCTGAACTTTCCATCTCCCCATCACATTTACAATAGACCTAGCTTATACTCACTATCTGACCCAGAGAGCACCTGAGAATTCAACTTGTTCACCATTTACCATTTGTTTCTTCTCTCCTTTGCATTATTTTATTTTTGGCAAACCAACTCATTTATCCAAGTTTCTTAAAGCTGAATATTTGAAGCAGACAAGAATCACAATCTAAAGGTCAGATCCATCTGACTTACAAGACAAAAGCAGACCATACGTATTGCAAAAGAAGTAAAAAACAAACAAACCTATCTTGAAAACAGCAGGAATATATGGAAATTTTGTTCAGAAAATATAGAAACAGTACTTAAAATCAAAGTCATGATATAAAATAATTAAAAACCCAAGGATCATAGACTGTTAGAGAACAACTGCCTGATTACAGGAAAAAAGAAAAAAAAAAGTATAAAAATAGGCAATTCATGTAAACTCGTATTGCCTTTTAGACCAAATTTTGAACGTCACTCAAACCTAAGAAGTGATAAAGCATGTTTCATCAACTTCTTATGAACTTCCTTATGAAATGCAGCCACTTGGGCATGCAAGTAAGATACATGAACTACAAGTTGAAAAGGATGTAAACTTCCAAGAAAACAGTGCAATTTGGAAGGCTTAACAGACTCAGCTCACCACTTTCTGGCCTATCCTTCCTTCCACAAAATTTACTGAAAAAAAAAAAACAAAACACCACCTCACCAGAAAGTTTATAGCCGTTTCTACATGCCCTTATTGATATCTAACTTTCTTTTCAGCTGCACTCTTATCTTTCTTTTCAATTAATTAAAAACACCTGTAGCACAACAATGATGCATCTCTTCCATTTGCACATTTTCTAAGCTACTCATTTGGAAGATGATTCCTTAATTTCAACTATATACTGTAGGTATGATACCTGAAAAAAAATGCATGTAGAAGGGGAAAACAAGTCAGAGATAAAAATTGAAGAAATGGCTTGCTTTCTTGACTGATACAAGCCGCATGAAAAAATGGGAAAAGATTTTAACACAATGTGACATACTGAAATTTAAAACCTTGGAAACAGTGAGATTATGCTGAAGTAGTTTGTTTAAAGCTCTTGATCAAAAGGCACTTCAAAAAATAATGCAGAAGTAAGGTCATGCTTCTAGGTAAAGGTATACTACATTACAATCAACAAATACAATTCTAAAAGAAAAAAACATTTGGCAAGATAGTCCTTTTTCAGAAGAAAGTGTCATCACTTTAGATGTCTTTTAACTTAAGAAGGGAAGTAATTCTTGATAGTAAGAACAGTAATTATTTTATCAGACAATTTCTGTACTTGAAACAGTAGCAATCAGTTTGCCATTTTTTTTTAAAGCTTGAACCAAACAAAATGTGGTATATTTTTTAAAATCTTCTCTGATCCTCAATGTAAATTATTACTGCTAAAAAAAAAAAAAAAGAGAGAAGAGAAAAACATTTTTATTACCTGATTTCCAAAGAGATTGAATCCATTAATTGCTTCTAAAGCCGCTTTTGCCAACCCCACAGAGCTGAGGAGAAAAATAAATAAATAAACACACAGAAACAGACAGACTGTAATACAAGCCCAGACTAATACTTAGTATCTTTGACAGTTTTCAAAGTTATGGTCTCTTCTTGATTTTAGTTTTGTGCTTAACATCTGTTTAATAAACTGATGATACAGCAAGGCTTGGGTTGGTTTTCTTTTGTTTAAAAGTACTTTTCAGCATTTTTGTTTGTCTTCAAATGTCAGAGACCATCTGGAAAAAGCACTTCTGCTCTCACCTTGCTGCTAGACATCTGGCATTATGTATTTCAAGGACTTAATAGTGTACTAACAGAAGATTTATTTCAGCACAATTTTTCAACTCATGTCTCAAGCGTTATATTTTAATGTTAAAACCTTAACTTTTCAAAATCTGGATACTACATAAATTTGGGGGAAAACAAAACTGAACTACACACAAGAAAGAAAAGAAGAAAAACAACTCTTATGAGCAGTTACACTGCTATACATGTATAATGATGCTTGAAAAGCCTAAAATTTCAGAACTGGGTAGAGTAAGAGGAAAACAGAATATAACAAAGAATGTAACAGTTTCTTTATCAGCACAGTAATTCCTTGGAAGAAGAAGAAGGAAAAAAAGGCATAAGAAAGGAGTTAAAAGTTTATATCTATTTTTCTCTAAAATTGATTGTCCACTGAGACAACCACACTTTCCCTTCCTTTGCCATCTTTCATTTGGGATAAAAATTACATAGTACTGCTAAATGACAAATTAAATAAAATAGTTTATCAGAGGATCAGCATGTCCAGATAACAACGTTCGCACGGAGATAGTCATGACTGAAAAATTACAGCATCCTTTAGAGTACAAGGGCTACAACCCATTTGTGGGGAAAACAGAAAAACTTACAACCATTCAGAACATTTACTTTCTGAATAGGACAGCTCTAGGTACTTTGTTTATAAAAGTAATTAATAAAAAGTATATAAAAGTATATAAAGTATATAAAAGTAATTAAGGAAGCAACACTAAGGAGACAGAAAAAATATTCAGAAAATAATCATTCATAATCCCAAACTTTTGTGTGTGAGGAGTTGTTATAGTGTTGACAAACAGCTGCACAACCCTGACCTAAAAATTTGTAGCAACCAAATTGGCAGAAAGCTGCAAATACAGCCTGTGCTTTAACCTTAATTCTTCCATACTCTAAGAAGCACTTGGGGATTGAGCAAACTTTTTACCTTGCTGTACATTAATGATTTGTAGCATTTCTTCATGGAAAATATCAAATGCTAAATGTTTAGCTGTTCAACAGCAACAACCACTGATACTCAAATACAGTAAACCAACTTGTTATATCTATAAAATACACTATTCTCCTGTAAAAGTTGAAGGAAAATACGGATTCCTTTCTAAAAACCAGTTCTATTTCACACACTGTCATTATTCTACAATAAGAATACTTCCCATTTTCTACCTCTGCTTACTCAAAGCCCCTGAAGACTGCAGTACGCTAATAAATACTACTTGCAAATATGAAATGAAAATATGTATATCAACATTAAAATGTTGCTTTCTTTTCCTACATCATATAACACTTGTTCAAATTAAAATGCCACATCAAGCATTCAGTTCCTCATGCACAAAAATCCTGCTAAGATTGCTAAATGTTTCATTGATAAGTCACAGGATGAAGGTCCATTACAAAAAGCCTGAGAACAGCTGTAATATCAAGCATGTCTTCAAAAAACTGAGAAATCTCACAATGCAACAACCTGCTATGGAAATGCTACATTAAGCTACTATTTGACACACTGTCATTATTCTACAATAGGAATAGTTACTATTTTCTACCTTTACTTACTCGAAGCCCCTGAAGACTTCAACACTCTTGCAAATACTGCACTACAGAGATGTGCAAGATCACAGCTCTGTAGCCTTTTGGAGTTGGAACATGAAGATACCGCACTTCAACAACTTCATTATTCCCACAATACATATGGGAGATGTCAAAGACATTTTGCAGAAGTACTCAGCAGATGCCTGGAGAGCCACTTGATCAAATGGTTACAGGACAAATTAATTTTTCAGAAGTCCAGCCATATGGGAAGGGGACCACACTAAAGCTGTTGTAAATCTTGCCTTTGAACCAGTAAAAGACATCAATTTATATATATCAGTGAAGACCTGGGTCTACAGTGTGTTTTGCTATTTATCATTTATTAGAAGTCTTTTGAACTGTACAAAGGCAGAATACCAAGGCTACCTAAATACATGAAACATATACATTTTCTAATGTAGGCCATAATTTGCCGTTCTTACTCACAGACTTCATGTTATATATCTTCTTCAAAAAGAAAACCTCTTTCAATTAAAGAGGAGAACTAATTTCTAATTCTGAAAGCAAACACAGACTGTACATAGACTTACAGTGTGAGTTTTGAGTGCCAGGAGTCTAGCATTCATAATACTGAAACTTAAGTGACTCATTTTCAGTCCATTATCACTGGAGAAACACATACATCATGCATGACTAGCCTTGATTAGTTATAATCACTTCTTGAATTATGTTTTCAGAGCTCTCTTCTGCAGATACACCACAGTAGTAGCATAACAAAGTATAAAGTATATTTCAGCATACCCAGGGCTTTCCTCCACAGTACCTAACTACATCTTCTTATACACATTATTCTTCCATTTTTTTCTGATTTTTGAGAACTTGGCTAAATTAAAGGAAATTGTCTGTTGGCTTCCTACAGCAAGGTAGAGTATGAACATGCACACAAAGAAAGATAAATAGGGGCAATACCTGTTTCTGATGACCTAAGTCTACTTCTTAAATTAGGACAAAGCTCTGTACTTCCTTTTGTGCCAGCTCAGTGATCTGTTAGATTGGCCTATCCATCTCCTAAACCTTCAACCTTAGAAAAACTGACCTATAAATGTCAGTCTAGATTAAGACAAAACAACATGCCCATTTCCATCTGGTTAAAAGATTTTCCTCGTTTTCCCCTCAAGGAAGTTCACATAGCGAATAACCAGAGCATTGCAAACAGTGGAGATGTAGAACTTTCAGAGTTCCTTCTGCTAATTTGTGTAGCATGGATGTGAAAGGAGGTACGAGATTGTCCAGATGAACACTTCTGTAGTCAGGCATTTGACAATTTAACAGATATAGTAGGGGAAAAAAACAATACATGAATAAAGCTGATTATATAATAATCTCTTGGAGTTTTTGGTTCTCATACTGGTACTAAGCTTTATAAAAGCATTGAAAAATATACCGAAATCAATTGTTTTGCTGCAATGACATGTCATTATCTTATAGCTTAAATATTAGCTTAAAACATACGCCTGTATGTGAACTAATAAAAATTAATTCATTCTGAAAAAGAGAACACAGATTCATTTAGCAACATCTTCAAAGAATGGAAGAAATACATATGCATTATTTTTAAGCCCACAATAATTGATGATCAATGATGTTTTAAAAATCTAGGATATTCAAGCTACAGCCACTTTTATAATTGACAAAACTTCAGAAGTCAAAAAGTCAGGAAAACAGTATTAATGTTAGAAAAAACATGAAGCCAGATTACAAATTTGATACTTCAAATGCACAGTATATGGGCAATTCCACTGAAGTCAACTGGACCACACTAATATTAAAACATTAAGAACATTCCTAATGTCTTATAGGACAGGAGTAAGGATGCAGTTATTCATAGAGTCTGAAGAACCTGGAAAAGAGCTTGTGCATTATGCTATACTCCAGTGTCCAGTGTGTTCTTCCCAGCATGGTGGAGATAAGAAAATCTAGACTCAGGACTCAATACCTACTTAAATCAGGATATTCCTAATCATTCATGTTAATCTGATCTACTGCACATGGCTCAAGTGTCTGAGCTGTTCTGTATTCAATTTTCAGAATAATATACATGCAGCTGCACATAATTATTGTAATTTGAACACTCAGCTAAGCATCTATGTGGTTATTTCAGCATGCACATGATGATAAAATTATACTTCACATTTCCCCAAAATACATCTGTTAGTCTCTAGAAAACCTTAGTCGCTTCTCTTGAGCCTCTACCTTCACACCATATAAATTTTCAGAAAAAGTTCAAATAATTGTTGTTGTGGTTCTTTTTGGTTTGTTTTTGCTTTCATTTATTTTATTTTATATATATATATTATATATATATATATATATATATATATATATATATAAAATATTTAACTCACTACATTAATTTCTTATATCACATTTATTTGTTTTGACTGAAAGCATTACGTTCTCTCACCTACCTTGAATGTAGCTCTGGACTGCCATTGTTGTATTTACTTCCTCTTTCCCAAACACCAAAATCAGGTACACGGTAGGCTCTTTCCACACAGAATACAAGATTTTGAATGAAGGAAACCTGTAAGGCAAGAAGGGGGGGGGGGGGGAACGACAGGAGGAAAATGAAAGCATATATTCTTTTGTTCATTTTTTCAAAAAGACAAAGTTGTTTTTCCCCAGTTATCTTAATTGTGACTTATATCCAACATTCTTTCCAAACTATAATGTTCCCAAGTTCAGATACTCTCCGTAAAAAATATTTTTTATTAACAAAATATAAAAAACTGTCTCATATTTGGTGGCAATGTGATTTAAATGAAAGTTTCTATAAAGCCAGAGATAGGCATGATTTCATATTGAAGACACATATTTGAAGAGCTTCAAAAAGTTGGCATTTTGCTCTTCTAAATTATACTTGTCCTAAAAATAACTTTAGAGAGCAAGATAAATTAAATCCTACAAAATTAGGGCACAGAAATCTTGGTGCTCTTCCTTAATTCATATTATATGCTGTAAGTTCTACTAAATTAGTTCTAGATAATATATTTTTTCACATTCAAACACACTCCTTTATAAACAAAAATAAAACTTGAACCAACTTATAATCAAAATATCTTTTTGGATCAAAATGTTTCAACTAAATACTCAGGTGTCCTGGTTTCAGTTAGCACAGAATTAATTTTCTTCCTAGTAGCTGGTAGAATGCTGTGTTTTGGCTTAGGATGAGAAGAGTGCTGATAACACCCCGATGTTTTAATTGTTGCAGAGCAGTGCTTACACCAAGCCAAGGACATCTCAGCCTTTTGCTCTGTCCTGCCAACAGGCAGGCTGGGGGTGCAGCAAGAGCTGGGAGGGGACAGACCCAGGACAGGTGACCCAAACTAGCCAGAGGGGTATTCCATACCATCTGACGTCATGCTAAACAATATATAGGGGTGGCTAGCCAGGGGAGGGGGCCGGACTGCTCGGGGTTAGGCTGGGCATCGGTCAGCAGGTGGTGAGCAATTGCATTGTGCATCACTTGTTTGTACATACTATTACTTTCGTATTATCACCATTGTATCATTATTATTATTATTGTTATTATTATTATTGTTATTATTATTTTCCTGTCTTATTAAACTGTCTTTATCTCAACTCACAGGCTTCACTTTCCATTTCTCTCCCCCGTCCCAGAGAGGGAGGGGGGAGGGTGAGCGAACGGCTGCGTGGTGTTTAGCTGCCGGCCGGGTTAAACCACGACATCAGGGCTATACTCAACTATAGATGGGGGTTTATTTAAGCAGACACTTTTTCCTTATATACATAGTTGAAATTACAATCACAACCTCTCCACTAAATCCTCCGTTTCTTAGAACCCCTTCCTCCCTTCAGGAAAGGCAGTAGAATTTACTCTCTTTACTGCAGCTTGATTGAATTTTGCCAGTGCGGACATTTTTCTTCTGTAAAACATTGCTGCATGGGCTTTTTGTCCTTTAATTGTGTGCATTTAGGTACATAGATCTCAACTCTGGAAAAAGAATTGTATCTTTTTCTTTACTTTTCATCAGCTATGGAAAAAGAAATAAAAAAGAAAAATCTCTTTTCAGTACACAGTTGAGATAAAGAAATAAACTATTTTTAAGGAAAGTAATTAAAGGCAAAACAGCCTGTCTTTCCCACCAGCCTACTGCAATGCTGAAGTTGAGTTATATCATCATACAGAAATGCACTCAATTGTGTGGAAGTACAGGAAATTTTTGCACGTAGGATTTTACTTATTTATTTATTTATTAAGATAAAAGATTTCAGAAGAGTCCCATACTTTCTGTCAAGTAACACTTGAATTTCTGTCACCTTGCATCATCATATTCACCAGATAACCACACATTCCAAAAACAGGACAGAACTGAGGATAATTAACATTTGATTCATGACCCCAGAATAACAGACTAGTTAAGACTGGAAGGGTCATCTGGAAACCGCCTAGTCCAACCCCCTCCCCAAAGGGCAGTCAGCTGGAACAACTGGGTTTTGAACATCTCCAAGGATGGAAACTTCACAACTACTCTGGGAAACCCATTTGATCACATTAAGTTCCATTATATGTTATCTATTATGTTCAGCTAGAAACAACATTATGCTCAGTTATGTGTTAAGAAATCAATCATATCATAAGCAAGGAGCTTCATAATTGTTACTACAGTCAAATTAACTTTTCTTTTTTCATTTAAATAACCTACTAGAGAAAAAAAAATAAATCCAGTACTGAAGGGTGCATGCTTGCATTTTTAAGTAACTTGCATCTGTTTTGTCTTTTTCCTCTCCATTTCTCTTGAAATCTCAAAGAGTTATTATTTCACATACACCCTTTATGCTAATACTAGTCCACCAGTGACATATGAAATTATATACTTACTTGCCTCTCTATACACCATGTATCTGCTAAAATTTCAAATGGGATGCTCATGTACAGTTATCTATACACTATTGTTTTCATAGCTACTACTTTCAAGGAAACACTGTCCCACACTTAAGATATGCCTAGTACTGTTCTTTCCTACAATTTAGCATTTGGTTGTATTCAGATGATCTATGTCTGAATGGAGCTAGAATACTCAGTGATTCACTGTGTGTCTTCTCCTATTTCTGTCATTAACTGAAATTTAGATGCATTAGCAGAGCGAAGAGGCTAAAAGCACCACATAGAAGTACATAGCTAGGTGATGCATTTCTACCAGTGACAGTGTTCATAACATTAGAAAAAAAATGGTCAATTACAGATATTTTACAAGAATAACTAGCAGTCCCCAAATAGCAGATTTATATAAAAAGATGCAGATAACAAAAGGGAGGAGGGGGGAGGAGGGAATATGTTGCCAAAGGAAACTTTCACAGAACAATCGTTCATACCATGGATATATAAATGCTATAACCAAGTCAGTGCTAAAACCCTTACAGAAATTATGGACTATGTGTTCAGCTTATTTATCCATAAGTCAAACATGTGGAGAGCAAGGGGTAATAAAGAACATGAATGAAGCATAGATGAAAGCAAATAATACTTGTTATTCTTTTTTATACATAGGTGCTTCAATCAAGTTCAATCATTTGCACAATCATATGCTGTCCTCTTTGCTATGGATGCAAAGATGTGATTAAATTAATTTTTCAACTACAAACAGATGCAGCTAGAGGATAACTCATCGATAGTTGCCATGCCTGACAACAACAACCTAGTATACAAAGATTTCCTAGTAAGCCAAGAGTTTTGTGTACAAACATATTCATGCAGACAGCCTGCCAAACATCAACCATCTGTCAGCACCTTCCACTGCGCTAGCACTGGCTCAGAACCCACTCTCCAGGAAAGAAAAGCGACTAAATACATCATGGAATTCACAGCAGGAACACACACCAAAAAATACATGAAGCCATTTGAGCACACATTTCAAAGTACAAGCATATGCACTATTTAATCTACAAAAAGGCACCATGGCAATCCATGAAATCTTAAGTATTATTTTAAACACCAAAGTAAGCAATGAATGAGCACCAAAATAAAACGTTTTTATAAGAAGTGCTGAAGTACACCACTAACTCCAAATCCTTGAAAGTACTATTTAGAAGCAACTGACCGGGATGTACAGTGACCATTGCAGCACTCTCCCATGCCACTGCTAACCTTCATTATTACTGAAAATGCTAGAATTAAGCAATTAAGATAAGGACAGAGCGCTCTATGGTTTGTTCAGTTGACACACATTGTGTCCTCAGGACCAACCTGAAGTATTGTACTGAAGAATGAGGTAACCCAAGCAGTTAAACCAAATGTACTAGTTTCTAGAAAATAACCTCAGCTAGATATAATGACTTCTATTTTTTCTTTAAATAGCTCTGCAGACTGCTGAAGTATGCCAGCCAACAGCAGTGAACTCTAGAACCACTAAAAATTATCACATGTAAGGTAAAGAAATTTTGGGGTGAACCTTGGGGATCAGTACTCTCTTAGCTGGACCATTACATCTAGAGTGACAGGTAGCATCTTCTATTTGCCTGCTGAGCAGCATCATAGATCTGAAAGTCACAATTACTTAGCTCAAGCGAAAGAAAAAAAAATCTTAATCTTGTCCTATCTACTGATGAGCCCAAATTCTGCCAATGATCATGTAGTGTTACAGTTCCTTCATTATCAAAGATTTTAGCAGTTCAATGTTTGTTTGATAGTATTTGATTGCTTCTAGTATACAAACCTTCATTACTAACACTTTCAGCAATCACTTACTGCTGTCCATCATTATCCTGATCACTGCCTGCTACCCTTGCCAACATCTGTTTATGCATGTATTTTATCAGTCAGCAACGTACAGCTTCCATGAAGCTGCTACTTCTCTGAGAAGTGGAAAGTCATCTAGTACATTCATGCAAGACACCAGCAAAATATTATTTCGTATTTTTCTGGATAACTAAATATAAAAATGCTTTCAATGCCCAATAAAGCACTTGTAAATCTAGAAGATAACTTATAATTTTCATCTGTAGGAAAATTTTCATGCACTAGAACTGCTACTAGATTTCCTACTCTACATTAATTACACACATAACCAGAGAGTTGAAGGATGGAACATTAGACGCTGTGGGTTCAATTTAAAGACAGCATCACTTTTCTAATGAAGTATTTCAAAAACACCCCACTTGCCTATTTGTTTGTCTGACTGGCAGTCTATGCTGCATTTACAATCATACATTCTCTGAAAGAGCCCGTAGGACAGAATGTTTACAGAAACTTAATTGTCAGAAACTTTCCTGAACTTTTCTCTGCAAATTTTAAGATCGCTTTAAAAATCGACTCAGCAATGTTCCTTTCATAAAATTGGGTCTTTGGATTTACCATGGAACTCTGCCTTTCAAAGAAACAGGCATGCTGAAGACAGATGTGTAAAAGAATCCATGCTATTTTTATTAAACAATTACTTAAGTGACAAAGTGACAGTAAACATAATTTCCATTTTTCTTGTATGTTACCAGTGCCCAAGAAACATTACATACGTAGTTAAAAAAGGGAGGGGGAGGGAACAAACTTGAAAGTGATTTTTTATATTATGAAGTGAAGGCATCTGCAAGTGGTCTAAAACCTTGTTTCAAGTTTGAAAAAAAAAGAAGCATAAAAGGAAGAGATTTCCTTTTAAAACATTAAACAAAAACAAAACAAAATTTAAAAGAATCTAAGAAATATTCAGAATCAGGCACCCTAAGGCTGAACTGGTACTGTATCACGCTTGCAATTTCTACGGGTAACATCATACAAGAGTTTTTAATATATTTTTCTTTAATGCTGGAGGCGGTATTTTCTGAGGACTTTGATAGCTATAGTTTTATGCATTCATGAATTAAAAGCCCTGGATTTTCTTCTTCTGGTCTCTTTTTGTTACATCTCCATAGATCATAGATTACTAGAGCAGCATTGCCATGAACACTACATCCTGACATTAAAAGTGGAAAAATCCACTGATTGTAGATTCTAGACAAATGCAATTTTTCTGCAGATTTTGTAATTAAATGCAAACATCTGGAGGATAACATAAATTACAAGTCAAGCTAAGTAAATACATAATTATACACATTTGCTTCCTCAAAGACATAAAAGCAAATCATAAAAAATAATACAGACCTGTCATATGATCTAACTAAGCCATGATTAGAAAGGAGACAAGTTCATCTCTTAGTTTCTCATTACATAAAGAAAAATCATTAATGAAAATTTATGTTATAAAAATATAAAGCAAATATACTACTACAGGAAAAATCCTCCCACAGCCCACCCCATCCTTTTTTATTTTATTTTATTTTATTGGTGGCACTATAAATACATTTAAGCTTTTTAAGGCAATACAGCAGCAACTATTCAACAGACCAGTGTAAGTTTAAACAAATCCAGATTAAGAAAAAAAATAAAAAAAAATCTGTGCCTTTCATTCCTGTCTCAAAACTTAATCTCATTTTAAAACAGGACAGCATGTTATCCTGACATGACTTGTCCTCAACAAGCACATGGTGGCTGTTATTATCTTATTTTAAGAATAGTTAACAAACATCTTTTACCGTTATATAAATTGTTTTATTATCCTTTAAAGGTACAGCAAAACTTCTTAACACCCTTAGGGTCCATATGTATTTGAGGAAAGCCCTTGAGCTTTCCAGAAGATAAACCCTACCTATTTATAACAATGAAATACCACTGGCCAGCATACCTTGACTGACAGCTTGAAATAAGGTGAAAAGCCAGTACAACATGACAAGAAATTATCTGTCCTCGCAGACCTTTTAAATCTTGATCCTGAACATTTCAGAAATAGCAGGGAACAATGAAACTTTTCAATGTCATGTTACATTCACTCATTGCATACCTATCTCTGTTAGCTTTTCATTTATTTCACTATACCTCCATTCCATTCACCTTTACTGACTGTCAATAAAGTGGTAAATATCTACATTGTATTTATAGAACAATTACTTTAGAGTTGGCAACGTAATAAAAACAAGGAAAAAAAAACTTAAAGCACGTGTTTTAACATGAGAAATCTTTGTACCTCGTCTGTGTTGTAGATAATCTGCAGCCCCGAAGAGATCATCTCAACCAAATAGATGAGAAATAATGACACAGCATTTATCTGAATTAAAGACAAAAACAAAACTGTAATTAAGTTTAAATTTATTGGAGTCAAATAAACAAACAAGCTAAATGGGAAGGTACTCACTAATAAAGATGGCACTATTATAACGCAGAATTAGTTGTGGTTCTTCAGAAATATTACTTTAATGTACCAATATCCTACATCTATTGATGCTGAAACAATCAAAAGGAGTGTTACTAATAAACACTTTCCTCTACAACTTCTGCTACGGTATCATTTTTTTTAATTGTTTTAAACCATTTTTTTTTTTTTTTTTTTTTTGCTCAGGAATAATACTGCTTTGACTTCAAGGCAGTCGCTTTAGTCACAAGCTGTTTCAAGCATACATACATGACAATTCACCAAGAGAAAACAAGCAGCATAATGCAGGGTACATACCACACCTAAAAAGCAGATCACTTTATGCATAACTGGACCTTTAGCATTATCGTCTGACAGAACTATAATTAGAACATTCAGATTATGATTACATTTATGAAAACTTTCATTCTGTTGCTATACATGGCATTTATTATTAATAGTAATTACCTTCAGCAGTTGTATGGACATGCATCATAATGTCATTTTATCATTAGTTACACTGTTTTTGTTACACAGAATTCTAGTAAAAATTAGAATTTGTAAAACTTTGATAGAGAAAGAAAGTTTACCACAATAATTTGCTTTAATGAGCTATAAAAACATAACCTCTGTATATGAAATTTAGAGAAACTATCTAGAATATAAATTGGAAGAATAAGGTCCAGATTCTATAAACTCCAAAAGATTTGAAGAACCAGTGACTTCAATTTTTTAATACGATCTGAGAAGCATCAAGTACAGTAACAATGGCTGGCCAGCTACTTAGCATATTCCCTTTTTCCCAACTCAATTACCTTAGTTACTCTCTTTTTTGTTCTCTCCATAGGGATGAAAACCCTCTATTTCTACAGATTTGCTGATGAGAAAAGGGAATGGGCATTCATGTTTATAAAAAAAGGATGACTTGCCAAGAAAAGCAGAGACTTAGAACAATCACACAATGCTCCCCAAGTCCCAGAACTGCTGTCTTCTCCCACAGATAAAAAATATGCACGTTAAGGAAGTTTCACTCAGAAGTCCAAAACACCAGCTTAGGATAACTCCCACGTTCATTTTTCTCTGAACAAACATTTTCTGAATCCAACACATTACTGTACAAACTATTTTGGTCATGTTGGTACCATGAAATAATTATCAACCTACTGTCACTTCTGAGTAACTTCAGGAGCAATTTATGAATTAAAAGAATATGTAAAGTTATGGAATGCAAAAGGACACTCTCATGAACACATAAAAGGGTCTGAAAGTACAAAGGGAAAAAAAGAGTAAATCAATGCTCTGAAAAATGAAAGAAAATAAAACTATCAATAGGGAAGTTATATGATGAATCTGATTAGGGACTGCTATGCAAAATACTAAACAACAAGTCTCTAGACAAAGCCGTTGACAGCATCCATTAAATCTTTACTGTGAAGGAAATTTGCTCAGACTTATGTGAAATTAAGCCGGGAATGATAATAAATAGATATAGAATTCAGTGTAAAATTACACTACATCTTTCATTTCTCTGTCTATTTCAACATTTTAATGCCAGGATTATTTAGTGACAGCCATCTCTTGGCCTCAAAAAGAATAAGGATTAAAAAGAAACAATCATCTACCTCCACAAATCCTGCAGGTATTTTAATACCTTCTCACCAAAATATACCACTGTGTTTTATTTGATTATTTATTTGATTTGATTTGTTTTATTTAGTCTGTCCTTTTCATCAAAAGATGCAGAAGAAAATTCAATTTTATGACGTTTAATGCACCTAACAGAATTCTAAACATTTTCTGAGATGGTTGCATCATGGAAGAATCAAGACAGTAACATTATTTTAAAACCATCCACACACACATACTTTACCTGAAGATGACCATATTCCTTAGCCGAGAAGACCTCATCTCCAGTATGTGCACTGAAAACAGAATGAAGACATTCAGATGGTTTGGGGTCTTGCTTAAACTGCTGAACCTAAAGGTGATTTAAAGGCAAAACATAAAATCAAATTCAATAATTTCCAAGTGTTTGGCAACTGCAAATTCACTATATAACTCAGGTGCTTCAAATTTTTCTGAGAAGAGAATCAAGCTATGTGAAACTTAGAAACAGCAGTTCCTAAAACTTACCGTAAACTATATCATACCCACTAATGTACACATCTGTGAAGAACAAAAAAAATACAACCCTTCTAGTTTATTTCATTTTCATAGAAAAGAAGTGTAATAGCGAGCTACAGATGCTGAAACTGTAGCAGGAAGTGTGCTGAAGTGTATCATGTCTACCTTGAACTCACAGATCTGAAGTATATTCAGAGAATCCTGACCCCTAAGCTTTCAGTTCAAGAAAGAGAATAAATGAATGCTACTTTGTATAGTTACCATATCTAGTCAGTGAATGTATTCAGTATACTTTAGGTTACAATTCATATGTTTATTGGCATTAGAATATAACATCTGCAATTATGGTCACAAGGAGTATTATCTATTCTTGTCACACCTCCCTATTTGGGTACATATAATTCATTTTAGAAACAGAGAATCACAGAATCATTGAGGTTGCAAAAGACCTCTAAGATCATCCAGTCCAACCTTTAACCTGGTACTGACAAGTCCACCACTAAACCATACTACCAAAGTTCTACATCTACACATTTCTTGAAGACCTCCAGAGAAGGTGACTCAACCACTTCCCTGGGCAGCCTATTCCAATGCCACACAACCCCTTCAGTAAAGAAATTTCTCCTAATATCCAACATGATATTATTAAAAAGCATGTTCCCTCTGGATATTCAGCGCTTATAAAATTTCTCAGAATAAAGTCCATCAGTAAATGATGTCTGTTAGGTAACTGAGACTGCTTATTACTACACTGCAGGACAAGAGAAGATTTTATAGTAATCAAGGTGAAAAATGACAACCAGTACATCAACAGTTTGACACTTGTGTTAATTTAACACTCATTATTCATAAATGTACTGATCACCCTCGAAACCAAACACTGCGTGTCAAAGAGAAAAATAACAGCTCAAATGAAACAAGATCAATTTAGGTCAAGATTATTTAAAGATCTGAGACTACAGAGAATCAGACTAAGAAAACAGAAAAACTATCATGTCAGCATAAACACAACTGGCAATACGCCTGATTTGCTTATTATTACTACTGACAGATGCCTACGAATTTTACATTACAGTTTGTGCACTTAGAAGTGATGTCAACTACACAGCAAAATGGAAATGATTCTTAATAACAGTTTAAAGTCAGTTGGATGAAATTTAAAATAAAATAATCACCAAATATAGGTATTTAACTGTTCGTAGAATTAGTTAACCACTACATGAAATTAATGCACCGTATCTAAATTTTGACAAGGAGAAGCCCTGAATATTCTTGAGCGTACACTGACTGACAAGAGGATTACAGGCTGAATATATACGTTATAAAATACAACTGCATTATAGCATAAACAAATTACCCCATTTCTACATTCACTTTGGATTGCTGCCCTTCTGAATATACATCATTAAATCAAAGAAGACTGCTAAAGAAACCAAGCAAAATAATCACATTGGCTACCTAGGTAAGGAAAATAACAAATGCAATAACCAAGTTCACAGTCCTAAGAAAACTCTCTAGTCTTCAATAGAAGAAATTTTGTATCCTTCCATTTCCAGGAATAAAAAGATGGTTAAAAAAAAACACACCATGTTATTAATGGTCTAATACTTAAAAGGGATAAATATCTGCAAAATGAATCCAAACACATTTAAAATGTGCCACGATGCTTACTCTCTTTGCAAGATTCTCCTTTCTTTTATACCTTCACACAATGCAGCAACCTAGCAAAAATGGGCAATGTTTTTAGCTGAGCCACACAGTAATACTGCATTCCCCTTCTGAATTCTATCTATATTTAGAGGCTAGTTTTTACAGTTTAATTAATGCTTTAGAATTGAGTGCTTCTGTCCGCACTACAGTGGTTTACCTTATCGGCCTGACGCATGTAGCAGTAGAGAATTCCTCTCATACACTTTATAGCAGAATGCTCCAGTTCATGAGTTCTTCCCTTGTCATCATCAATACGCCTGGTTAAGAAAGATAATTCATAAAACGAATTGGAAATGCATTAAGAAAACACAAAGAAAAAAAAAGGATACATTAATGCTTTGGGGTATTAATGTTTTGGGGTATTAAGTATTTAACTAACATTATCATATAGTGCCCACACTCTTATCAATGTATTTACAGCTCTGCCCATAATTCCCTCATTAAAAAAAATATTATTTTTAGGTTATGTTGCAGCTTACACAAACATTCCTATATCAAATTTTAAAAGGAAAAAAAAATCCTTGAAGCTATTATAATATTGCAAGCTACTGTTCTGTGTTCCTTGAGAGATCCATAACATGAAGGTAATTTTGCTTTAATTCTACAAAGCATTTCATTCATAATCAAGGACTTTCCTGATGATGTTAAGCTACAGCTGTATGTACAAGATCTGAAAGTTAACTACACAAATGTTCGGAAATGTGTTTTAAGGCACTTTTTTTTTATATCATGAAATCAAACAATACTCACAACTACTACATTACTGAACATATATCAAGAACTATGCCAAATCTCAGGTTACTTTAACAAGAAATGTATTGTGTGTAAACAAGCCTGATCACTGCATTCATTGTTCTTTCCCCTTTCTTGATTTTTGACTGAGCTTTTTAGGATGAAAATAAAATTTTCTTACAAATCTGTAACTTAAAACAACACATTTCTGATACAAATATGCACTGGTGACAAATATGTCACCACTGAAGATGGTGACAGAGATGGTCTGCATGGTACGGAGGTTCCTTACGAGTTCAGGTTCCCAGAACTTGACTTTAAAAGCCAGCCATCTGGAGATGGCTTTGTCCCCACTCGTGCTAGGCTCAGAGCAGCTCTAACCCACGCCCAGCAGGCACAGCACCAGTCAGGACACACCAACGCTGCCAACATTACATTCTTGTGTGGTGTCCTGGGTCGGTTGGGTTTTTCGTTTCTCACTATTGTTTTTAAACAGAACCATATTTTAGGATAACGTCAGTACATGCAACACTGAAAATTCAATCTGCAGTAGACAGAGGCACTGGGGTTTTCATTTTGTCTTTGTTGTGCAGGGGTTCTGGACTTCAGACACCTGTGGAAAGAAGTTAGGGTGATAAATTCCCTGTGGGCTAGTGGGTAACATCCACTCCTGTGTACTCTGTGTCAGTGCACGCAATTGAATGTGGTCAGTGCTCTGGTATGCTCACACACAAAATACTCATCTGTGAATACTATAGGATTTTGTAATCTTTGTTATATAAAATGTTTAGGCTATACAGACTGGGGAGCAAAACACTGACACCCCATATAAATAGAATTATGTTGCATTACTGAGCATAACAAAACTCTCCCCTACTAGCGTTTAGGTGGAGTGACCGTATGTTACTGCCTTGCATTTTTCACATAAGCAAAAAATCTAAAAGTAAAGGATGCACTAAAAATTCCCATCCCCCCAGATGCATTTCAATGGTGCTGCATACAAAATCCCAGCTTGCCAGCTTCCACGTGGATTTTTGTATGGTGCACTAAGAGGTGTTCTTTTTTTAACGAATAAAAAGGGGAGGGCTGGAGTTTGCTCACTGCTCTTTCTCAGTCCACTTTATAATTGTCACTAATTTGGTTATAGTTAAGCAGACAATAACTACATTAGGAAGCACATCCTTTCCCACCATTCTTAACATGTCATTAGCTTATTTAAATGGTAATCCTGCATACAAGAAATGTACTTGATTTCAACTCCAAAGTTCAACCGAGGGGGGGAACAAGTAATAAAATCATAAATCATAATACAAACTGAAGAGGCTGGGGTTTTTTTGAGCAGTAGGATTTATTCTCAACATTATCATAAATCCAAAGAGCAGTAAGAAGCAGAAAAATAGGCTCTGAAGTTTTCACTTAATAACCTACATTTTTCTCCTTTTATTCACAACAGCAGTGTTTGTTTTCTTAATGTGCTCTTCAGAAGTTTAGGTTTTATTGAACAGTACTGGTATGAGTCAAGCACAGTAATTTGTATCTGGTAGATAATGCAGACTTCCACATGAGTCCTGTATCTTAGCTCATTATGAATTTTAGTCATATGCTTAATTTGAATCATCAACTTTTGCCCATCAAAGGCAATTCACTGTGCGGCAGCCAAGTCCAGGACCTTGTTTTAAGCATAAGTGGAAATAACGCAAAGGACTCGTCTTGCCACTTGCCCTTTCTTCAATCTGCAAGTTTCACATATCAGCTTCTATAATTCTACAAACTGGGAATTAAAGACTGAATAGCTCAGGCAAAGCTATGCCATGCTTTATTCTGTGAGGCTTTTTCAGCTGCTGAAAATTCAGAATAATCATCCGTGTATCTTTTAGTCTTCCTTCCAAACTTTTTCAGTTTTTTTTCATTTTCAGATGCTTTTATTTCACCCAAGGATGTGGAATTAAAAGATACAAACATTTCAGTATAAAAGAAATGAAAGTAATAATTACTCATTCTGAATGCTAACTTCCTTGTAGTTTTTGCTAGTTTCTGAAAATTTTGAGATCCATTAGACCTCATGCATGGCATTTCCAGAAGAAAACACAGACTAGTAATTACAAAGATCTTTGTATGACCTCTCTTTCAAAAAGCATCATTTTGAAACATTTCTGAGAAAATAATTTTAATTACTCTTTTTCACATTCATATCATACGTACAGAATCTAAAGCAACAAATACAGACAAAAGAAGAAACTGAAAACTTTTTTTATCTGATAGATAGATTTACTTTGACAGTTGTTCCCCATATTATTTCTGGCACTACTTCTGTAAAATATACTAAAATTTTGTCCAAGAATGTAATTACTACCTCACCACTAGTTGGTGATTATTAAAAACAGAGTAAATTAATCCATATTCGCACACCATCATCTTCGTTAAGAACACTACATTTGAGTTATCATCACCTCCATATTTTCTTGGGTGGCTAGGGAAGCAAGGTTGGAGACAAGGAATACTAAATCTCAGAAATGAACGAACAGTAAGTCATTGCAATGCTAGTCATGAAGCACCTTGTATATTACAATGCCTTTGTTCTTCCATATTCTCCAGTTTCACAGACAGTTTAACAAGTCATCCTTTTGACTTATGTATAGCTTTGTAACATTTTGAATCACTATGATTTTGCAGTCTTTTGCAAAAAGAGAAATCCATTTATTTTTGCTGAAGTGACAAATCTATCATTAACATGAAGCACAGAATTCAAAACAGTAATGAGTTAAATTGGGAGAGTCAAAACTGCAATATTAGTGAACAGAGAAGGAAGAACTGTAAGCAGAGAAAAATTATAGACACTGATGGAGCACAGATCAAATGCAGTTTTCAGTGAGTCAGAATGCAGGCAGTGTGATATGAATGCTTAAATCTAGACCAGCATCCAGGTTTTGAATGGAATCATCCCCACTTATCATCCAGTGGTTAGATTTGCAGAACAGCTTTGAAACACAAATTCCTCTAAGAGGAAACTGAACAACAAATGTACTCTAATACCTCTAATTCCCACAGTCCCCCAACAAGATGTGCAAATTATTAGTACTTTGAACAGGTATGAATTATATAGGCTAGAGGGACGTTCGGTCTAGGAACCTAGAATAAATCCAATCCAAAGTAAAACCTTCAAAATATTTATGGAGAATTAGGGTCCCCCCTCAGAATCAAAGCTTCAACTCACTGACACGTTACTGCAAAGCCAAATTATTGGTGATTGTAAACAAAATCATAGGGAGAAAGTCAATCCCACCACACATTAACAACAAGCTAAAGGAATTTGTACAGAAAGTGAACCACCCAAAATTAGAAAAGGAATATAGAATGACAAGTACAGTCATTAAAGTAAAATATTAAGGCAAGTAAAACCAAACCAGTAGCTCTTGATGGTTTAACTGAGTATGTAAGGAAGGATGAAGGCAAGGAGGTACCTTTATTCACAGAGGATGAAGATGAAACTTTTCAAATGAGGTCTTGATGAGAACTCGGCATAAGAAATCATCAGAACAATTGTTTTGTTTAACATCATTACCTTTGCATATCTGAATGGCACCTAATATTTAATGTATCAGTAGATGAGAGTAAATATTTAAACTGTAGAATCATAGAATCATAGAATATCCTGAGTTGGAAGGGACCCTTAAGGATCATCAAGTCCAACTCTTGACACCGCACAGGTCTACCCAAAAGTTCAGACCTTGTGACTAAGTGCACAGTCCAATCTCTTCTTAAATTCAGTCAGGCTCGGTGCAGTGACCACTTCCCTGGGGAGCCTGTTCCAGTGTGCAACCACCCTCTCTGTGAAGAACCCCCTCCCGATGTCAAGCCTAAATTTCCCCTGCCTCAGCTTAACCCTGTTCCCTGTACACTCAAATGTTAAAATCCATAGAAAAATATTCTTTTTGCTTATTTTAAAACAGTTACATTTTAATGACATTGTAACAGCAGTTAGACAGAAGGCATTTAACCCACCAAAAATTAATTAGGAAAAAAAAAAGTAGAATTACCACTGAAGCAGAAGAACACACACCTTAACAAAACTGCAATATATTGAAGATATTTCACATGTTTTTTGTTAGTTTTAAAACTACTATTCAAGTGAAAACAACTGTTTTCTTCAAAAATAAAGTCACGAAGAATAGTTTTAATTATATGAACTGGAAAGCAATCTAGCACCATGAAAGCCTGACTGTTTTGATGGCTTAGTAAGATTCTCGTTGCAGTTTAAAGGTTGTTAGTAAAATGATTTGAGAAATAAACGCTGCTGACAAAAGAATGGAAAGGAACAACCTTACACTCTCAGGAAAAGCAGAAGAAATTTTTGAAGAAAGAAGATTATTCAGAAATAAGCAATGAAAATCCTCATCACTTTCCTATTAATTTAGCGAGAATAGATCTTAAATTTGTCTGAGAATTTAAGACAAATTCTTCATACCCCTGAAAATAGCATTTTTCAATATCCAGATACAATTCAGGATCAGACTGCAGTCTTCCCATTTATTAGTTATTAACATAAACACAAAGGGAGACGGGCCTTCTGCCACCAAACCACTATGTTACTGTTGATAATAACCTCTGGGCTTAGCAGAACAGTTTCGTCACAGTGGAGAAGTTAATATATCATTTCCATAGTTGGATAGGATTTGTAATTATATCTTGTTATGACATCCTTTCCCACTACTCTCAGAAATCCTGTCGATACACAACCCTTTATACTTCATGCAAGCTAACAACCATAGCCTAAACCAATATAGATGTGGAATTTATCTTGTGCTTCATTTCTGGCTTTTAATTTAAACTGCATACACTCAGTTTAATCAATTATCCTGATGAAACAGAGTTTTCAGTGAACTGACAGCCTAGATCAGCATCCAGTTAACATACTTGTACTAAGAAGTTAGCAGGCACATAAAGTGGAATTATAGAAAATCAAAGGCAACAAGAAAAGTAAGAAGAAATTATTATGTAACATACAACAAAATACCAAAAAAAAATAACCTTTTGGTTTAACAGTCTCATGTCCTTTGTATCTGCTGTGGATAGTCACTGTTATTTCCCAAACATATATTTCTCAGCATTTGAGGATTCAGTCGTCTGTGAGTATCCTGACTGTTACCCTACCACAAACCTGGTTCTGTGCTCAACTCAAGTACCGCATTTGAAATGAGCAGTATTCCATGAGTACAGTTTGCCACAATAACCTGTATTTTTAATAGCGTGTATGAATTCCTCGGTTTCAGAATACTGGTACCTATGAAATTATATGAAACTGTATTTGCTTACCAAAATTACAGACATTTTTAACCTAGTAGCTACTTAAGTACTTTTTACTGAGATTCAGAAACATGCATCACCTCTAGGTGTTCACAATATTTTGGATAAAATATCGTCTTTTAAAACATTCCCGATGTACTACATAACAGAAATAATGGCAGAGATGTGAATTTAGAAGTTACGCACCTGTAAGCAAGAGCCAATGCCCAGGAACATGCAGCACAGTAAAGATTGTCATGCACTTTTGCCTTTCTGTTATCCCCATATGTCTTTGTAGGAAACAGACCTGTGGTTGGGCTTTGATGAAGTAGCAACGTTGTCTTAACTGGAAAAATGGAAAAAGAAATTAATTGTTGCTAATGAATAACATTTACAACATGTTTCTTCCAGTTTCTGCATAGGTATAAATCAATATGTGAACGTCTGAGCATGCACAACACAAAAAGGTCAGGAGAGACACACACAAAGAAAACTTTTTCATACTGGTTCGACTCTCAGATTAGAACTCTTCAAAACACTCAGTATTCACAAAAATTCTGTGACTATTCCTACAGCACTGCCCACTCCACATAGAACCACTCCAACACAAGTCAGTAATTTCTCTTTTTTGCAAAAAAGTGTCTATAGTATATTGTCTGACCCCAAAATAATGTAAACAATTGTTAAACTCAGCAGAACTCTACATTCATAAAAATTAAGTTTTAACTCTGGCCAGATGACTATTTCAATATTCTTTAAAATGACAAGGAGTGAGACATTGAGAGCAATGCATAGCATAAACTATTTACATCAGTTTTTAATATTAGCAGTATTTCTACTGCTCAACGTAGAATTATATAGGCAACACAAAACAGCAGTTACCATCACAGAGCAGTGAATGAAATACATATTCCAGTGCTGTATAATGTTTATAATTCTAGAAGCCACTCTTCAAAGTAAATTGGGAACAGTCCAGTTAAAAACAAAAACAATCAATCAAACAAAAACACAACAAAAAAACAACAATGCTAAGGTTTTCATAACAGTAAAAAACACAAAATCTGCTTTCATATACATATATAAGCTCTAATAATCTCAGGGCTTTGCAATAGCTAGAGGATGGGGATGGACATGTTTAACAGTTCTCAAAAATAATACATCAAAACAACATGGTGTGATTGGAAAGGGTATATTTAATTACCTATTTTGTATACTTTGAACTTTATTCAACAATTTAGAAACAACTACATGGACAACTTCTTAAAGGTAAAAGATGTCTGGGCTATTTTTTCCTGTCCAGTTTTCAGATGGAAGGGCTCTAGCAGAACCAACACGTATTATGAGGATTAACATGGGAGTGGCTCTACTTATCTAAAAGATGCATAAGAAATATTTTCTTCTCCTACCTCATCCAAGTCCAACGGACACAGCTCAAAATTTTAAAAGGTCGCAAACACTTTAAAAAGGTGTAAGGGGTAAGCTTGCATAAAAAAGACACAGAACAGAGCAATCTTCCATGTTAAAACCAATTCCAAATTTGGTTAGTTAAAGCATCAAAATCTATCAGATCACCTTTACTCCCTCCTCATCTAAGATAATGGGGCCCAACTCTATTCTCTATTCTATTGCTCCTGTTCCACCTATTCTACTGTTTGACAAGTGCAGATGTAATTTTGAATGCTTTGTACAGGTCATCATGATCTTTTAAGCAATGTATGAAATATCCAAATATGTGTTACATTATCATGGGAATCTTATGAGGAATTGTAATGATATATTTTTTTTCTCTTCAGAAAACAGAAATCCTTATCAGAAATTGCAGATATTACTTAAAGCTAATGACTGTTATAACCATAACTGTAAATACTCCTGTAAATTGCACTGAAAATTTTTCATGGTAGGAACAATTCTTAACCAACTCTTTACTTACCAATTCTGTAATAATGATCTAATTTATCCCACAGACTTCCCCCCTCTGGTTTTGGAAGGTTAATACTTTTAAGTGGCTCATAAATTGAACCTAAAAAAGAAAAGAAAAAATCAAGATCAGGATTAGTTACATAATTTCTACTATTACTAAAATGCAATATGATTGTTTGTGTTTGTTATGCAAAGGCACAATTTATCTAATTTCAGTTCAAACAAAAAAATACCATTTTTACTATCTCAGAAAATGTAACATTTCTGTATGCATTCTTTCTACAGTGTCTGTCCATGCAAACAAGACCTCCATGTGGATCTCCAACGCCTCACAGATGTTTAGCTACAGCAAATGCCTAGTTGAATGCATATCTCAAACTCAAGAAAAAACGTTAGTGTGTTCTCATGTACTACTGAGGTCAGTAGTACAAACTGGTCAGCAGACACAGCCCCCAAATTACCTACATTTCAGGGAAATACAGTGTTACCATTTCTACATTATTCCTCTGCAGTGTCCCACATATTGACTACTTCCCTGTTTGCACCTGAACACTCTGTTTTGCTGATAGCTGAAATTAGCTACCTATCAGAGAGATGGGTTTCTTTAAAATTTCTGAGATAAACCATTTCCAGAACCTAAGAGTAACATACTGCTCTCCTTCCATAAATCTTCGTGGCTTTATTCAATACCATGGACTGCAGGATGCCCCACGATGTCATTTGACCAGAGGAAGAATGGGAGCCTCCCCTTTCTGACTGCACGCTGCCCTCCTGAAAAGCTCAGAGTGAATTGTCAGGGAAGCCCAGACAGCCAGACGCTTCTGACAGGATGCAGCAGAGTGCTCCTATTCAGGTTGCTTCTTTTGCACTCCCTGCACATATCCAAGTATTAGACAAGAGACTGTCCATAAGTGGGACTCAACCAAAACCAAACGGAACATGTAGAGTGGTGACGGAGGCCTTATTAATCAAATCCTGAGGTAGGAGGACTGAGAACTGAGAACTATTTCCTGCCCCTCCAGGTCTCATCCCTCACCCCTCACATTAGTATTACTTTTGCTTTGCAATAGCAGTAAAGAAAGTTCCTTTTCTCCCACCAAAATCCACTGCCCCTACTCGAGCAGACTCCCGTGGGTCCTTTGTTGAATTCCCTGGTAGTGTTTGAGCACACAGTGGAGCTTTCACTGCCACCTTGCCTGTCCTCACTGGGAGAGGTAAGGAGCAAGGACCGCGGGCAGGTGGGAAGCACAGAGGGCTCACTTGTTTGGTTGCCTAAAAAACAAAGCTAGAAGACACACGTTGTTCTGTACTAGGAAAGAAACCTCGATCTATAACAGCTCTCATACCTTCTGTTTAACATTCAACATTCTGAACCCAATTAACTTTTTGTTTCAGAGCAGTATTAGGTTTTTCAACTTCTTTTTGCCTAGGAATTTCTGTCCTTTAAAAGATTCATGATCTCTATTGTTAAGACTACTAATCCAGTTGTTTTGCAAAAGCACACTATAGTAACCTGCAGTGATGGTAATTTTATAAGGTGACTTGGTCAAAGTAGGACAGAATATGCACAGGAGAAAATCTTCAGCCAGTCACTTCTTTGCATAAAAAGTAGCAAATTCATGAGAAATGTTTACTTATGAGGTTCTCAAAGGCAAAATAAAGATACTTACTCTTAGATTTGTTAACCATGTGACACATACATAGGACACTACTCTGCGTGAAGTGGGTTCAGAATATCTCTTTCCTGCAGACCATTAAACCCCACACTGCACCGTGGAAACCAGGTGAGTATTCACAGGCACAAACACGTATACACACAAGGTACAAGTTTCTAAAATAAAATTGTTCTAATTTACATACTTACCAGACAATCTGTGACCCTCTGTGGCCAACAGAGAAACAAAATAAAGTTATCATCAACAGAAAGTATATGCTTGGCTCCTATTTCACAGCATGAAGATTTCAACTTTGGGCAGAAAGAATACTGAACAGAGCAAACAGCAGGAAAACGTCAAAGCACTACTATCTACCAATTATATTCGTTTAGATATTTCAAACTTTTACCAGCAGGAATAAATGAAACAGTCGGAATGGTTGTTGATGAAAAAAAAAAAAAGAAGTAATGAAAAAAAAAAGAAGTTTTATTCTTTAAAAAGTATATGCAAGAGAAGTTGTTTAAAGCAACACTCAAAACTCAAGTCTTCTGCATATTGCTCACAAATACCTATGTAGTTTATGTTTGTTTGCATGTCTAGATGTCTGCTGGACAAGTCCTGTGGTAAATTATGGGTCATTAGTACCATGATCTAATTGAAAGCAACAAGCAGACAAAAAACCATGAAGCTGGCTGCTACTTCTGTGTGGTTTTATAGTGAGACCATAACACCAGGGGAGCTGTAAGTATTTTTAGGATAGCTAAAAAAGCCTGCCTATGCTCTTTTCCAGAATCCACGTAACAGTTTATTTCAGCAAGACAGAAACTTAATACATAAAGTTATTTTCAATTACTTATTTAATATGGGATTTAAAACTGACAAAATGACATCAAAACGCTACAACACTGAAAGTGAATGACACCTGCAATTGAGTTCCCAGCACTGAAGCTGAATGAGATGCAATTGAGTTCTCAGTTTGCATGTTACCATTCAGAACAAGGAGAATGAGGACATTCAACTATCATTTTTTAAAATATCTAATTTCACTGTGACCATACAGTACAAGTTTCATTTAAGGTAAATATGCACACATCCTAGGAAGGAATACTAAAATACTTTGCTGATTTAGTATTTTTAAGCTGTATACTGATGTAAAACATATACAAAATTTAAATAGGGTACACAGTAGTTTAGATTTTCTTCCCACAACGAATGAAGCATGCCCATATTTCCTCAAATCAGAAGTGGACCACTGCAGGTCAATAACTACTTCAAAATAAACTAATAAATAGGAAATCAACGTCACTTCCTACATTCAGGTATTTAATTTAGTCTGTTTAAAGTCAAAGTCCTTGACCCATCTCTAATTAAATCCCTATTTTTCCTAACTAAATATGCTATATCCATATTTTAGACAGAAAATGAGAAAATAAATCCCCTTTCACTTCAGATGTGGCTCCGTAAAGATCCACATTAATATGATTTCATTATTCTTCAGGTTGAAGAATTACTGAAAAGGACAGCCATTTCCTTTCAAAGTATTAGAGAACAGGAAGAGATCTGAAACAGCAAAATAAAAGCAGCATCAATTACTAATGCAGACCTTCCATAATATTTGGACAAGATATTTCAGACTGAGCTAAGACACTGGAACTGTACAAATACATTACTGAGCGGATTAAACTCAAAGGTACAATAATTTCAGGAAAAAATTATCAATTTATTCATCTCTTATAAGCAGAGTACAATCCTGAAGGAAATTAAGGGAAGGTCTCCGAGACAAGCTGTAAGCAGTGTGAATAACTGCATATACAGCCTGCAGAGGCTGAAAATTCTTATGTCATCCTGATGTTAGAGTGCTTGCCCATCCGCTTTGTTGTTAGTCTAGTTACATTCAAGAATAGCATAATTGCTCTTCAGGAAGAACTACAAACTGCCTAGATATTTAGATTGAAAATATATGGCCAATATTTTAAAACCCTCTTCCCAAACTCGTATCTCGAGAGGCTTTGAGCATCCCCACATTGCAGTAACATCAGAACGACAGCAGAATGGAATTCTGGATCTAGACTACGGAGAAAGATTTACCTACTTTAGGATGGATTGATTATTCAAATTCTACAAAGTACTTAAACAAGCAAACCCCTAAAGTTTAATCACAAGCAAATGGAGGTAACATGACAAGAATTTTATTTCAAACATTTAATATGCCAAAGGCAAATGTACCCATGCATAACTAATATCAGCACACAGCTGACAAAAAAGCCTCAAAATACCAGATTTCTTTCTAAATTTGATGCATAGCATGAGAATCAAAACTGACTGCAGCCCTTAAACACAACACTAGTTCTGTAATACAACACTTGAGACACCAGCAAGTTCTGGATCTCAGATCACAAGTATATCATTGCCCAATATTAGTACGGGGAATGCCATCTTCACATTACAGTCATTGGGACGAAAGAGGATTTTATTTCTTCATGCAGGAAACTTTAAGAATAATTATACCATATGAACAAATCATATCCTGCCAACGTGACATTTCATTTCCCTCTAGACTCCCGCAATCTCTCCTGAGCTGAGACTCAGTGAGTACTGAAGAGAAATGTTAGATATAACAGATATAACACAGTTTACTCTAACAGTTCTGTGCCATTAAAGTCCAAACTCATAGACTTGAGCAAGATGATAATAAAAAAATAGCTCTCAGAAACAAGAAACAGGTTTATCTTTCACTAGAAAGAAGATTCATTTCTCATATATTTCAACATCTGAACACTATTATCCCATGAACTTAGCACGTACCACCTGTGGTGGTGGTGGGGTTTGGTTTTTTGAAATCACTATGTACTGGAGGAAACTACCATCTCGCAGCTGACCCTTCTTTGAGCAAAAAGCTGGACTAGCTGAGCTCCAAAATTTCCTTCCAAACTGAACAGCTACACGATTCAGTGTCAACACCACCAGAAAACCCAAGGGGGCAAAAAATAAAAGAAAATAGAAACCAATTTTAAGGCATTTCTCTACCTGAACAAACACTTGGAGTAAATGCAAGGGACGAAATGTTACCCAGACTGAGAAACAGTCACAACAGAGGTACAAAGGAGTAAGATCTTGTAATGATTTTATTTAAATAGTTGTAAGGTGACAACACTTTTCAGCTATTACTTATCAAGAAAAATAATGTGCTGGACTGTGCAGAATTCAAGATATTTTAGAATGTCATGGGAAAAGCAAAAAAAAAAAAAAAAAAAAAAAGCAAAAAAAAAAGTCTGTTTTCTATTTCCCTTTTTAGTCCATTGTAACTAATTGAAATTACTGATTTCAGTAATTCAGTAATTTCAATTTATAGTAACTAACTACTCAATTATTTATATATAAATATATAACAATTTATAGTAACTGACTAAAATTCAATTTAGAGTAACTAACAACTCACAAAAGTTACCGAAGACCAAAAAGAAAAAGAAAACCTTAACTGCCATGCCAGCACACAAGAGCTCCACATAACCAAAATGCCAAAGTGTGTCACACAAGCCTTGTAAATGGTACAAGCAAGGCAGAACAATGATCAGGGTTTTCAAGGCCATCACTGTCATTTCTCAGCCTGCGAACTTACAACAATACCTCTTAACACTACTAAAAACATTTATTTTGTGTCATAACTAAAACCAGAAATGTCAAGTAGCAACATGATAATCAAGAAAAAGTATTTTTTATTTATTTATTACAATGTCAACAGTCCACGAGCCTTTTCATGTTGGAAGAGGCAAAACAGAAATGCCACAGGCAGAGTTCAAGTGACTCAGTTGCAGCAAAAGACAGCTGAAATCCTCTTATCTGATAACTCTCACTATCGCTTGTGCTGCTAACATGTTTCACTGCAGAGTGAACAAGAGGCCTGTTGAGGTTCCTCCCAGATCAGCTACTACACATACAGACACATTTGTTGCTGTCAAACTCTTTCCAAAATCTATTAAGCTAAAAATGTAATGGTCTTGATAACTTCATATATACAAGCTCCTGTTGTAGCTAAGGAGAAGCTGCCTCATGAGGCTTTATTTTGCTTCCACTTAACTTCAAAAAGTCAAGGTTTAGAACAATGACTGACTTGCAGGTAATCTTACTCCTTGTCGCTAAACCAGTCATGTTGTTATTGTTGTTTTTCTTGTAAGAAATCTAAAACACCATTATTTGTACACTTTTCACATAACCATTAGCTTAGAAACACAATTCAGTTATGAGATTGTTATACTGACAGACATTTGCAAGAACACAAACACAAAAAAGAACATCCAAACAAAATAGGAAGAGTAGACTTCAATTTAAGTAGATTCCAATTTCCATTAATTTTCACTTGAATTTTTAAGTTATACTGCGCAATTCAGAAAAGCTGCTAACACAAAACACTGCGTGAAACACAAAACAATTACTGTTTTTGTTGGATTCAATAGCCACAAACAAAAGCACAAAACTGCACACTTACCAAATTTTAAAAAAGCATGCGCAGATGAGGTTCTGTCATCATCCAAATTGGCCATTTCAAATTGGTGCAGCTAATCACAAACGTCTCAGGCTAAGCTACAGCAATTTTCAAAACCGTTTAGTAAATGTTAAAGGCAACCAGAATTAAATTAAGTGAAAGCAATGTTAGTGGAGTTAATAAAATGACAGAGTGCACAGCACGCAGGGTAGTACCATGTTGTTATATTTCATGTTTTCCCTCTTCTACTCTAAAAATCAGTTTTAGTTTGCCTTTACTTCACTAACACTTAACTAAGCAAAATGGTATAGTCTACACTAAGACCATCTTTTGGACTTTACACAGTAAGTTATGGTTGCTCGATACAAAAATTGCTACTAAAGTCTAAAGGTGCTGAATAATATCTGTGTGATCTATTTCAGGATTAAATAAAAAATACATGTTTAACATGTAAAAAAAAAAAAAAAAAAAAAAAGCGTTAAGTAATAGTAAGCACTGACAGCTAGAATTCTGCTTATGCATAGTGTTGCTTTTATCCAATGTGGAATTTACATTAGGATGCTTTGCGCAGTCATATCCACAGCTGATGGTACTGAATATCTATTATTTGAAGTGGAACATCTGCCAGTTTGGAGGATAAAATAAGAAAATATCGCTGACAAGTCGTTCCAAATCTTTAAAGCAACCAGGCTCTTTAAAGTAGCTGAAATTTCAGAGGTTGTAGACTGGCCAACTGCTGAACATATTTGTAACCTGTTCCTAACTGTTAATTATCACAGTAGCAACAATTGAAACAGTATTTTATTGTTCAAGGAAGGGAAAGAAACAGCTCTCAAGAAAACTTGCTCTTACTGACAACAACGTAACATATTTTAATACACATAAGCATCAAGATATGCATTACCTCCTACACCATAGGGTCTTAAATGATACCTTGCTGCTGGCTGTAAAACATAAATCACTCATGAGTTTCATGCACGAGTCTATATTCCATGTTTACTAAATAGAAAGGCTCCATGTTTATTAGCTCTTACTCTAAGCAAGGTATTAAGAAAAAAGAAACAGTACTGTTTGTCAGCTGGGACTGTCAGCATAGCCCTCATCCAATTCAGAACAGCACGGGGGAGTTCCAGCCAATTTCAATGAGGCTAACAGCCATGGCTCCTTCTGACAACACCAGAAAGGAAGAGTAAGAGCTCTGAAGTTACACAAACTTAGTTATAAAGATGTAGGAGGGAATCTGAGAAACAAGAACATGATTTTTGTTGTTAGATAAGATTGTTACCTAAAAGATCACATAGACAAATTAATTTTTACACCAACTCATTAATCAGAAAGGCATTTCAACTAAAACAAGCTTTATTTCGCAAATAAACAAATTTATTTGGATTCCGTATAAGTGACAAGATCCCTGAGTAGGAAAAAGAGGAATTGAACTACAGTAACAATCTGTCACTATCAGAGAAAACTTTCTTAGATATTTAATAAATAAGTAATAGGCAGCAGCAGATTAAAAAAAAAAAAAAGTCAAGCATTCACAACCACCTGAATGCCTTCTGCAGTGGCAGAGCCCAGCTCAGCCGGGAAGCGCCAAGTTAGCACGCTGCTGTGTGCCTCGGGACTCGCACACTCCCAACACACGGGATCCAGGCTGTATTAGGTAGAGCTCTATGGCTACGTTCACTAATCAATTTCAGATAACAGTACCGTGTAATCATAATTAGCCATAAAACAGGAATTCATTTAGTGGACAGTCTTCATAATGGTATCATGCACATTAATACTATACATAAGTAGAATTCTTAAAGCCTCATCAATCAGAGCTGTCGTTAACCACTGCTCCTTCTTGGAAGGCCCTCAGGAAGGCCACCTCCTTCAGTCTGACCTGTCACTAAGACAGCAGCACAAATCAAACCACGAGTTGTGCAGGCACGAATGCCAAATACAGAAACACCACGGGGACCACTTGGAAAACTGTTTCCGCTGGAACAGTGGCAAGTAAAGTCCCAGTACTGTTGTACTTTATTTAAAAGAGAACAGAAAACAGGGGTCTTTGAGCTTTTGAAACTCAAGGCAGCTCCCTAAACCTCACCCTTCCACTTGAGGCCAGAACCTCGCTGCCCTGCAGACTGACTTCAGCACCCGAAACTCTCAATAAATGCTTTTCCGTGGAAAACCAGGCAGCAGCTGGCACTCCCGTGCTTTAAAGCGCTCCGCCTGCCCTAGAGCGATGCTACAGCAGCAGCAGCAGCAGCAGCAGCAGCTCCAGCAGCTCCAGCAGCTCCCGCTCCCCTCACCCAGCCCCGCAGCCCCCGGGGCCGCCCGCTGCGCGGCGTGAGGCGAGGCGAGGGGAAGGGCAGGGAGCGGGGAGCCGCGGGGCGGCCCCGGGGCCGAGCCGAGAGGTCAGACCTGAGCGCTTCGAGCGAGCCCGCAGCTCCAGCATCTTCCAGCTGACATCGGCCATGTGGGCCGCCGCCGCCGCGGCCGCCGCCATCCCGCCGCGCTGCGCCGCTCCCCGCGGCCCGGCGCCCCGTTACCCGCGGCGGCCGTAAAGCCGCCCGGGCCGCTGTCGCGAAACTGTCGCGAGGCGGCGGCGGCGCCGGTCCCGCCCCGGTGCCGCCGTAAAGCGCTGCGTGCGGCGGGCAGTGCCGCCGCGCCATGGGGGGCGGCCGCCGTGTGTGGGGGCCGGGCGCGGCCCTGCCGCTGCTGCTGGCCGTGCTGGCGGCGGGCCCGGCGCGGCCCGGCGAGGCGCTGCAGAATGTCACGGCGCAGCTCTTCGGCGCCGAGGCCCACGGCACCCTGGCGGCGTTCGGCGACTTCAACTCGGACAAGCAGACCGACCTGTTCGTGCTGCGCGGCGGTGAGCGCCGGGGGGACGGGGGTGGCCGCGGGGCTCGGGGCCGGGGCCGGGAGGGGCAGCGCTCGGCCCTTGCCTCGGCCCCTGGGCGGTGAGGAGAGGCCGGTGTGCGGCTGGCAGCGGAGCGGGGCGCTGTGTAGGAGGGGTGTTTACCTTCACATCTGGCTTTGTGGGCTGAGGTGAGGTAAAGGCATCACCTGGCTAAGCGGAAGGTTTTGCTCCTCCAGACCTGCTTCTGCTTCCTGATATGTTGGGAAGTAGGGAGGAAGCGCGCTTCGTGCTTGCATGGAGCATGGGTTGGATGTTAGCCCGCTGTGGGCATTGCTAAATTCAAAGGAGAGCAGCCGTGCACCAGGCTGGCGGCTTGTCAGCTGCTGGGGGGCTCTGCTCAGGTTGGGGAGTTGACACCAGTGGGAGCAAACCAGAGGTCAGCACTGTCTGAACATCAGACGTGGATTGTGGCACTTCTTAAAAGTCTGACAAGTGGAGAAACTCATCCTTCTTGCCTGTTGAACCCGCTGCTTTCTACTCGTATGTGATGCCTCTTCCAATAGTCAGTCCGTCAGGGCAGTCAGTAATTCACCTTTTGCTGCTCACTGGGGAGTTTTCGAAATGTTTGAGGTATCCTGACCACAAAACTTCTAAGCTACTGAGTTGTTGTTTGTATGGAAACTGTGCCCTTTTCCTCACCCTTCTCTGTACTTTTTTTCCCCTTTCTTCTGTGCTGTTTTTGAAATGTGAGGATGACAACTGCAGACAGCTTTTAGGATACGTACATTGAGGATTGATGTAGTGCCATACTGCTTTCAGTTTTCTGCTCATCAGATAATTTCCAGTAGTCTGTTTGTTTTGATTGCTGATGAGCTCTGAGCCAAAATCTTCATAAATCCATCTTTAGAGACCATAAAATCTCAATTCAGAGAAGCGTAATTAACTTGGAGCCTGCTAAGTGTAAGGATTGATCTGCTTCATCAGCATCATTACTGTACCACCTAGATGATAAAAAGGCAGGTAAAAAAACTAGTGTGTGAAATCAGAATAGCAAGTTTTAGCAGTCAACCTACGTCTTTATTATCAAAAGCTTAACCAGCCAGCAAGCTTCTTCAGCTTACAGCGTGCCAGCTTTTCTAATCATCTGTGAAGGTACAGTGCAACCCTGGCTGCATTAGCTTGCCAGATGGGACGCACTAGTTGCCTCTATCCATTTGGAAAGGGTTTATTTTCATTTAGTCATCTGTTGGTATATTCTCCTTTGCAAATACGTTTATGGCAGTTATTTTCCTTTTTCATATCCAAAAAGTTTCTGTTCTGATATTTCACAGCTGTGAAATTTGCCACAGAGCAAAGCCCTTGAAGTATGCTATGGTAGCTCAAGTTTGGAGCTGGAGAATTATTTTCACTTAGGCAACCTGTGGATAGGGATGCTCCAGGTGACTTTCTTAGAAAATGCAGAAAAACATAATAAAGGATTAGTAAATAAAAATACAATTTTATTTCTTCAGCTGTGAAGTATGATTTTAATTGCAGAAGTGTATATGAATTATGATTTTTTTGACTGAAAAAAAATTATAGTTTAAGAATTTTTTTTCTTCCCCCAAAACAATTCTATGTGCAACAGGAAATACGGGCTTCTATTTAGATTATACTGTAGTAACTGAATGACAGTGGCTTGTATCACTGCCTCTAAATGAGGAAGTGCTGTGTGGAACCAGGTTACTCCGGTGACTTTCTTGTCAGCAGGCTTGGGAGAGCAGCATCAGATCCTGCCATGTCAGAGACAGTACTGTAAGAGTTCTTTAAGTCAGCTTTTACGATTTAAATGTTTGTGTAGAACCAATGCCTATTACTTTTTCACGTGTGACATTTACTAATCTAGTATGGGAAGTTCTGTTTCAAACCATGTGGCAGCGATAGCAAAGAGAAGTTTAACACTAAGCCCCCAAGAATAGTCTTGATATCAGCATCCCTTTGATGCTAATGGATTATGTCAATGATACAGTTAGATTTCTACTGTTATACTGAATAAGTGTTCCTTTTGCTTCCTTTCTAATGAGGAGGAAGTGTGTGTATTTTTGCTGTTATGAGGAATGACCATTTGTAACACAACACTTAGGTGCTTTATATATAAAAATAACACTATGTTCCTTAACCGTGAGGGGTTATTCGTTGTCTTACTTGTTTTTGCAGGCAATGAGTTGATTATCTTTTTGGCTGACCAAAAGGAACCTTACTTTAAGCCCCGTGTTAAGTTACCAATGAAGTAAGTATTGACACTGAGTGATGAAACAATCTAAGTGGTCGTTTTTCTTGAAAGGACATCTTCACAGTCAGCGGGAACAGGACTAGAACTGTCTGTGCTGTGGTTTGTTTGGCAATGTGGTTCAACTTGCCCTTAGAGCTCAAGTTCTTTGACAAGGAAGCTTCCAGAGTCATTTCTGATACACTTTTGTTTTGCCTTTTTGTGTGTGTGTGTGGTTCATATGACAGAATTTGTGGAATTTGTTATTTACGTAGTTAAGGTGTGACTTACCATCCCCTTGGGAAACTTAAGTCCTTTGATTTTCTTTGTACTCAAATTCAGTTTTCATGCACATGTATAATTATATGCACATGGGGCCTCTTTTGTTTGTTTTTACTTCTAGATCTCTAGGTGTTGTCATAACCAGTGTAGTTCCTGGAGATTATGATGGTGACTCACAAATGGATGTTCTCCTGACTACCCGGATGCCAGGTCATGGCAGAGATGAACTTTCATTGTTTATTTTCTGGGGCCATAACCAAACATTAGGTAAGTTGCTGAGGCTGCTTGCTAATAAGACTGTTAGACTTCTTAATAATTCCGAGGATTTTCTGAAAGTTTTAAGTTATGTTACAGTGTGGAGATTATTTTAATTGTAAAAACAATGATTAGCAGCTATTCAGCTTCATACCTATACATTATTTTGTTGTTAATCTATATTCAATAATTAACATAAGAGAATAAAACTAAGACTTTTGCTTAGATATCATGCAACAGGCAATACCAAACAATATTACAGCTTGACAGTGAGCTACTTCTTGTGGCTTCCCCATTATGCATGTGAGCTTCACCAAGATTATCCCACAATGCGGCCTAATTTGAATTTAGATAGTGCTAAGAGCCTGGATATGAAGTTCATAGCATAAATTTTCAAAATGTCACACACAAACTTACTAACTGTAATATCAGGGTTGGTATTCCTATTAAATGAAAATTCTTTAAAGACAGGGCTTGGGAAAAGAGGTTGTAGATTCTCTCACTGAAAGTTTTCAAGAGCCTTAGACAACCGTCTTGCATTGGTGTTCTAGGTGTCTAGCAGTGTCCTGATTGTATCTTAGGATAGAGTCATGGGTGATAGGACCTCTTGAAGTCTCAAGTATTTTCTGTTGACTTTGCTGGGAAAACATTTTGGGAAAGGTTTAGAGTTTGAAGAAGAACAGAAAAGCAACATAAGATGATTATCTTATGTCCACAATCTTATGTTCACAAGTCCACAAAACCTATTGAAAATAATCAATATTGCAGACAACTGTATTATAAAGTAGTTATAGATGAGGCAAGTGATGGCCTTAGATTGCATTGCTTCTGGCTTTATTCAGAGATGAAACAAGCAAACCGGGAAAGTGCATTGGATCACGAATTGAGAGAACAGGAGGTAGCTGTAATATTGTAAGAATATGAAGGACTTAAATGAAATTATGTTGTCTTGCTTCTGAATAGACAAAAGTGGTTCTCAGAAAGCAGTCAGAGGTTAAAAATTCAGGAAATGGTTGGTATGTAGCAAGGCTACTGGAAAGGATGTGGTGCCTGCTTGGGTAATAGAAGTATTACCCTGCTCTTGATTTGTCATATCCTTTAAAATATGGGGACTGGAGTGAAGACAAAGTAGAGAGATGAAGGAACTGGTATGATGTGGCAAGGGGTTTGGATTGCAAGTAAAACTGAAGTCTGTGAAGTGATAACTTGATTAGGACTTAGAATTGTCATTTCCAATTTAGGTAGTCTACCTTTAATCCTTATTTCAAACACACAGTGTATATTATTAGGAATATATTTTATTGTGGCAAAACATTAAACAGATCTTCTGTGCAATGTTAAATTTTGAGTGTCTTCGTTCCAACTATTTCACATTTCGTATGTGTATTGGATAGCACTCACACATAAAAATACGTTTCATTATGATCTCTTTAGAATAATTTGTTGGATGTTCTTAGTGGAGAGAGAGGAGAAAGTAGCTTCAGCATTTCAACTATTACTTGCGTTTCCTATCTGAAATTAAAAGCTTAAATTTATGCATAATCTCAGGAAACCATTTAGTTGTGCATGTTCAGTGATGGCTGATTTTATTTATTTTTATCATTACATAAATAGAAGGATTGTACTTGTGAAATATGTTACTGTTTTAACATGTTGGTAAGTTAATCAAATGGGTATTTTCTGTTTTCAGATCTTAACCATAAAACTATGCTAAATAAGACCTTTCATGATGAGCCTCTAGTAATGGAGTAAGTATCGCTTGTCTTTTTAGAAAAAAGGTTTTATAACAGTGACTAACAGCAACTGGATGCATATATTTGAACACTAAAATTTCAAATATTCTCATTTTAAGTAGAGGGTGGCTTGTTTAATGTCAACTGGTCTAATAAAAGACGTTGAAACATATCATCCATCTTTACAAATCTCATATATT